TCTGTTTGCGCTACAAGCTTTCGAAATTCAGAATAAAAGCTTGTTTTTAAAAAAGTTTATTTTTATTATAATTTTATTTTACACTTTTTAGTTATATCTTAATCTCAGGACCCTGGACGTTATCTAACACTAAAGTGCTCGAAAAGACAAATCCAACGAACCCAAACTCGATGAGTTTCCGCCGTTTTGTTTAGGAGTTCCTATGGCCACCTCCCGACTCCACAATCAGACCAGCTCAATGGTACCATAATATTGCATTGTCATCGGACTTACACATGTATGCAAAATTTCAGCTCAATAGGAAACCGGGAAGTGGGTCAATTTTAAGTTGCAAGATTTGACGACAGACACCAGACATGTGAAAGTAATAAAAAGCTTGTAAAAAAAGGAAAAAAGACATAACTCGAAAACTATCAAAAATCGCGGAACATGCATGGGCGTTAGTGACTCTCTACCTCTGGGATTCTCTTTGACTCTTATTTTTTGGGACAGCTTGTATACTAGCTTCTATTTGTACCTACTATACGTTACTCCTACCTTTCGTGATTGTTTGCGGATTTGCAATTTTTTCCTATCTATGTGTAACATCATCACTTATTTTGTTTAATCTCGTGAGAATTCTTAAGTGCTTGTCTTGCGGTTTAATGGTGCATTTGTTACAAAAAGTTATTTTTTTCATTTTATAGGTAACTGTATCTAATTCTTGATTACTGACTATTTGCAATCAATTCAATTTCATAGTTTTTTGCACTGCCTGCAACATCCTTCTCTTAATTTGTTTATTCTTGCAACCGCATATTAAATGCTTGCGGTATTAAAATAAAAAGGTTACAATGTAGGGTTAAGTCATCCGTTTTAAAAATAAAATATTGTATTGTCTCTTTTCATCTCAGCGAAATCAACATTTGGTTGAAAGTGACAAACAATTCATTTATTTGCCCAATATAACGTTGATTTATTATTGTATCTACTCGTAACACGGTTTAATTTTTTTATTGAGAAAAATACAATTATGTAATTAATTTATTTTATTTGCTACAACTCTATACATACAGTAAATCATTTGCTGGTTTTAATTAAAACCTAATTATCATCTCTATGATCATATAATTACAAATACATGGTACAATTCAATTAATAATGTAAATATACAGCAAGTAGTACTTAAATACTTGAACTAGGCATAAACGATGCTTGCTTAAATGAAGCAGCAAATCGAATGCACAGCGTTGAATAGAGCTCTGTGATTAGTTCATGTATCACCCTGTGCGTCCACGCCCTTTGTGAGACCTCATAGTAATGTTTTTAAATACAAGCCTAAGTCTACAAAGTATAGCAAGTAAAACTAGTTTCCAATTTATGTAAATAGCATTCACGGAACATAAATTCCCAATAGTTAATCCGGAACTAAAGTAATGTTGCTTGCAGTTTATAAATTTGTAATACATACTTATGTGTTTTTTTTGCAATAAAATTGTGTACTGTGGACTGTAAAACAAATATTGATATTTTAAAAGCTTAACACTAATGTAGCATAAATTATATCAGAATAAAATTAACAGTGAGCTGAATCCATCAGTCAAACAGCTCCATTCAAAGTTCAAACGTAATAATAGGCATTTAGTATAATATTTTTGCTTTTGTTTTTTTACAAAATTTAAGATGCCCCTTTTTGCGACACTCTTAGTACCTACAATAAATATTTTGTTGTTGTATGTTGTTGACAATTAAAATTGACAAGATGTTATGTGATCTGTAAATTGACCTCTGTAACGCACACAAGATACCAGTTCTCAAGGTGTTGCAGGTCATTGGCTTGACGTTTAGCTTGAGAAGGCACTTAAAGCTACGTATTATGGTGTCTTATGGCGTTGTAATAAGTGTGGTTTTGCAACAAAAATGTATTAGCTGATAAGCTATGTTTATTTTTTTAATGTTTTGTCTTTTGTTCGTCTAGTTTACTAAGGAGCTGAAAATTCGCAATCCAGTCCATACAATGATAACTGGTAACTGGCTCTTATAAAATTGCTGTTGGGTTCTTAAAACTAATAAATAATTGTAAAATTATTTAGGCTATGTTTAAATAATTTTGTCTTTTGTTCTTTAGGTAGGTACTTCTAAAAAAAACAAAGACAAACCTTGGATTTTTTTAACTACTCACTCACCACATAAATTCATAAATAAACGTTTTATTTCAGTAAGTTTATAACTTAATTTTATAATTATTTATAATTCATACTTAATTCACAGTCTCTTTAACCATTAAAAATTAAAACAGTTGTGCCAATACAAGAACTTGGATGATTACATTTACAACTTAACATTAACATTATCATTAGTAATCGTGTTTAGTAGCTACTTCGGAATGATCTTGAAGTTAATATCTTGTGAAATGTGTTCCCACACGTTCAAGATTCAACTCTACGGTTCACATGATGTCATCACTTTTTGCTGCCAAACTTAAGCCGAAATTGTTAAGCTGCTAACAAAACACATTATACACAACGGTTTTTATTATACCCCATTATCTTTTTGTTATATGGATGGGGATTTCCCTCTTACTTGATGTTCAGAAGAATAACATTTAACTTTACTACCTATTATGTTTTGCTTCCTGCCTCGCATGACCTTTCTCCTTTAGGTGGTGGGTGTATATGAAAATTATACAGCTTCACTTTAACATTTCGCCAAAAATACATTTGAAGTTTTACAGCTTCATAAATATTATTTATTAATCTCTCCTTAGAAAGCAAAATTCTTCCGAGACTCTTGATTATAATCTTTAAGACTAAGTAAGTACTTATTTAGTATTTAGATATATATTTAGCGCGCTCCATCTTAGATCCTCCTTACCTTTATTTTAGGTGAGCTTGAGATCGACTATGACTCAAATACAGTCTTAAATTCAAACATATTAAAAAACAATATAATTTTTATGAGTTTTGAGGACTAGGCTAGGCACGAGAAAAGTTGGATATCCCACTGAAAATGTAGCAAGTTAATGGGAATATTTTTCAAACAGATCGTATTATTGAGACAAACCCCAATTTGTCAACAACCAATAAGAATTCTTTAACTATTAAATTAAAAGAGAGTTATGCCCGTTTTCACCGTCAATTCCTAATCTTTAAGTGGTGACCCCTATGAAAACAAAATTCCTGTTACGTTGTTACCACAGTAGATATCATATACATTACTGTGTTGTTACCATTCCCCTTGTGACCTCTTCACTTAATAATTAGGGATTGATAGTGAAGACGGGCATTATGACACAGAAATTCCAAATCAATTCTCAAACCTTAAAAATCTGCTGGAAAAACTCTAAATAAGCCGGGAAAATTCTATCTTACATCATTCTAACATTGTAGACAAAGTGCGCATCTTGAATCCAAGCATGTCGCTTAATGAAGTGTTAAAAAGTCTGTCTGGTTGCCTATTATAACAATGACAAAGTAGGTATTCAATATTTATACTCTTTTCCAAAGCAAACCCCGGATACCAGATGAATAGAGTATTAAATAAAAACATCATTCATCGTTCAACACGTGATATCAAGCGAGGGAGATGGACAGGCCAGCACGTCAAGTTAAACTCTTAGGGCCTTAATTACTGGTAATAGGGTTGAGTTTGCAACCAAAATGAATAGTCTGATGTGCGCTTGTGAACCACGTGACTAGTCAACTATTTCAACCGTAATGAACGAGCTGCAATAAATTTATTATTCAATGAAATAATTCATATTGATTACTAATATGCAGATTCGATTTCCGAAGAATTCCTTTGGTACTCAGATCATGAAAATTTTTGCATCTATTTTTCTCATGAAAATTGGTTTTTAATGAATTAATGATAGAATAGAATAGAATAGAAATAGAATAGAATAGAATAGAAATCATTTATTTGCGTAAGAGACACGGTACATATTTGTTCAAATTATACATAAAGCAGTTTGTAAGTGCATGCGTGCTCTACCGAATGCCGGCATGCAAAAACTTAACAAAAATGTCACATTAAATAAATTAAAATTAAAAAGATGTCCATTAATAAAATCATAATAATATTACATGCTGGTCAGGTACACATTCATTTACATTGTTTATTTAAGTCAAAATATTCTTTCATGTCATAAAAGCACTCTCCAACAACCCAGTGTTTTAATTTTACGTAAAAACAAAGTAGTAGGTAATTGTCTAATTTCTAAGGGGATTCTATTATATACGCGAATGGGCATTATATAACAGTTGTTATTATGGAGAGTACTATTATGTTGTGGCAACATCAGTTTGTGCGGGTCTCTTGGTCGTAGCCTCTGTATATGAGTTTCTGTTTTAAAGAATGACATGTTATGCCTTATGAAAGTTCCTATTTCAAAGATATACATGGCTGTCACTGTAAGTTGTATTTCTTAAACATAGGCCTGCAGCTTTCACGTGGCCCAATGCCACTTATGGCTCGCACACATTTTTTTTGAGCAACAAACACCTTTTGCACATCTGTTGAGTTTCCCTACAAAATTATTCCATATCTCAACACTGATGATACATAACCATGGTATGCCATGATGGCAGTCTTTTCATTTGTTGTATTTCTTAGACGATACAGAGCAAATACGAAACAGCTTAACTTCTTACATATACCCTGAACATGACTTTTCCAATTGCAATGGCGATCCAGTGTAATACCCAGAAATTTCGTCTGGTGGTTGAAAGATGGTTGAAACATTCTTGCATCTTATTTTCCTCTAGTGAAAATTGTTTTTTTTCACACCTAAATATTAACCATTTAGGTTAGGCCTAGGAAAAGTATTGGGTAGTTTACTTATAAATAATATAAGTGGGTAGCAAGCAATCTTTGTATGTCAACTAGTTCGGAAATAAATCTTGTAGTGCACCACACACGCGTCTCATCTAAATCCCAAAAGACTGGTACATAATAGTGGCGACAGGACTGGGTTTTAAGTGCATTACATTAATAATATTATAATATTATTTTAAAAATGTCGGTCGGAAAATTGGGCGAGTTTAATGTGGAAAGTGGAAATTGGCAGTTATATTGTGATCGGTTACAAATGTACTTTCTGGTGAACAATGTGGACGATAAGTTACAGTTACCAACATTAATCTCAATCGTGGGTGAAGCCGCATACGAACTCATGGTTAATTTGTGCTCACCTAAAAAACCGGCAGAAAAAACTTATAAGGAAGTGGTGGAACTAATGTCTACGCATTTACAACCTACCCCGTCAATGTTAGCGGAGAGGTTTAAGTTTCGCCAATATAGACAATGTGAAGGCCAATCTATTGCTCAATTTGTGGAACACAATGATATTATATAAAAACGAAAAGTTCTTTAATATCATTGGTGGAACAGTTAAAGAAATTATCGCGTTTTTGTGACTTTGGGACCGAACTCGACAGTAATATGCGGGACCAGTTTGTGTGCGGGCTGTGCAGTGACGGTATTAGACAACGGCTGTTTGTGGAAAAAAAATTGACTTTCTCAACGGCAACGGCGATCGCGTTATCGTTAGAGGCGGCGGAACGGGACGCTTTGGCAGTTGAAACTACCGGCGTTAACTTTATAAAAAAACCGCCGGTGAGAAGAACAACGGGGTGTTGTGTGGCCTGTGGAGATTTTCGACATAAGGTGGAAAACTGTAAATTTCGGGACTATGTGTGCAGTCGGTGCAAAAATGTAGGACATTTGCGGCGAATGTGCTCGTTGGCGGAGGTAAACGACGGTGACCGCAAAACGACCTTTAACGGCTCGTTTACGTCATCGAGAGGCGGCGGCCGAGCGGGCGCTCGGAGCACCTACCGGGGCCGCGGTGCAGCACGGGGCGGCGGAAGACAATTCTACATGGGACAAGGCACGGAGAACAAGTCATCGACGGCGGCGGCGGGTCGGTCGGACTCGCGGGACACCGGGAACCGGCAGGGTGACGTCACGGGCATGTCGACCGAATATGTCCAGGACGATGAAGCGGACCAGGAGAGTGGTGACTATGAAGAACCCATGTTCCAGATGTCCTTAGCAAAGTATAGACCGGTGAGCGTTTTTGTAAAAATTAATGGAATTTTAATTAATATGGAAATAGATACGGGATCGGCAATTTCATGTATTAATGATAAAGTGTATAAACAAAAATTTATAAATGTACCTTTACAGTCATGCCAATTAGTTTTAACATTCTACGATGGAAGTAACATAAAACCGTTAGGTTTCATAAGTGTTGATGTACAATATCAGGGCGTAACAAAAAAGCTAGATTTATATGTAATAAATAAAGGTACAACTAGTTTATTAGGCCGACAGTGGTTAGCCGAGCTGGAGATGTCTGTACCTAAAATTTGTATAAATACAATTAGTACACCTTTAATGGACGGTTGGAATTACCACTTTCACTTTCTGTTCTGTTCGGTCGCAAAAATCATTGGCAATTAAAGATAATCTAATTAACCACAGTTTCTATAATTCTATACCTACTTTATGTTTTTGAAAATAAGTAAACTAAACTACGAAATCCATTAACCGAGAGCGAAGCCGTGGGCTTAAAAGCTGGTTATACTCATTCATTATTATACTATGGTAATACTAAAGACAATAAGATGATCGTAGAAGCACTTTGTACTGCACTTTATCTTAGGTTAATGCCCTACGAAAACTTGCAGGCCTTCCCATCCTTATTAGGAAGGTAGGAAATCCATGCTGATTTCTCGTATCTTCAAAATTGGTCACTATCACTGATGGTGACTTATCTTCAAGCCGGATATCAATTTGGTTATTATTATAACATTTTAAATAGTAGCTAGGGTACTGGTTCGTAGATAAACAAATGTAAACCCCTTCCGCTGATGCCCGATTTCACCATCAATCCCTAATTTTTAAGTGACCCCTATGAAAACTAAATTCCTGTTATGTGTTACCATAGGGGTCACTTAAAAATTAGGGATTGATGGTGAAAACGGGCATGACTCTACAAAAAATATTTTTAAATTTAAAGTAAAATTACCCTTATAAAGTACAAAGTCTAAACATAAAAAAAATATCATCAAGCTTGCAATAGACTAAAGACCGGTATTTGGAGATACACTTTTGATTCACAATCTAACCAGTACATTTGATTCTTTTCGAACTCGAAATAAGGCAAGCAAAAAAGATCTTGACCTTTCATTTGCCACATGACTCGAGTTTACAGACTTTGAACTCAACATTTTTAATAGATTTACATTCCTCCAAGCTCTCTGGTGATAGATTTATGATCAAGATAAAAAGTATGTATGTATGACGTCATATTTTTTTTATTTGTCTCGTAGACTTATTTGTATGCGGTTTGGAATTATAGCCTTAACTGTTTTATTATGAAAATTATTGTTTAGACAAAATGTTTGTACTGATAGGGAAAATACACCTTGTATACATTTCCCGGAAAGAGTTCCCAACGAGCATGGCTAACTGAAATAGTTTTCTTTTATGTACATTTTGATTGTGTACTACACAACATTCGTACCGAATTTTTTGTACTGCTCAAAGGTGCCTTGTCAGAGCCTCTAAATTTCCCCGTAATTTTGCCTTTTTTGCGCTGTGTGCACGCACTCATCGTTTTTGCACGAGGCACGATTCAGGTTTTTTGCAGTCGTCGTTTTATTTAGCGCAAAAACCGAAGGCATTAATTTGATGATGTACAGATACCTCTGACAGTACCTTATAAAGAACATTGTGTGTGACTCGTTCGCTCCATGAGTTCTGCGAACAGTGAACTTGTTAGTTGAAGTTGAAGCTTGTTATAAAACGTAATAGAGCTTCAATGATTCTTCCAATGCGTTTGATCCTGTTTGAAATTTAGGTGTTTCGCAAGGTACTATATTTTTTCCATAGTTTTAAAACTTTATTATTTAGATATAATTTAATCCGTTCCTATGTAGAGCTTACGGAACCGCGGAAGTAGAGAGGCATACAGACATTGAATGGTCGCAAGGTTATGCACGTATTATAATATCACAACAATTACTTTAATGGTTCAAAATAAGCACTGAACGCATCCTTATCTAGTCAGTTATTTCAGGTAATGTTTTGTCTCTTTTTAATAATTTTCCTACCTACGAACGAGGAAAGATGTGATCACCATCATCATTTATTATGTTTTTAGGTGGATTAGTAGTGTTTGCGTAGGATCTAGGAAGTAAGTAATAAAAAATAATATTTTAAGGTTTATTAGCGTGTCTGGCCATATTCCTAACGACTGTAACAGGTTTTATTCCCCTATAGTGTATATCCCCCTATCCGTTATCTAGTAGCAAAACAAGCTTTGCATAGTTTATTAATAGCATTCTTAGGCTTTAAAGGCACAAAGACTAGAGCTAAAAATAATACTCTGGGTTTATTGAATAGTCGGTTGTTTTCTCAGTATAAAATAATCTGAGAATAAATAGTAGTTAATTATTATAATAATTAGACTTCTAAAGCCGTTAACTTTATGAATACGTCAAGACGTACGAATGCCGCGTATTAATAACATTCTGTTATTATGACTCCAACTATATATTTACATAATTTTATTTAAACATAGCCAGATCAAGTTGTGAATGAAATATGACTCGGAGCGATGCGATTAAATAGAGTTGTTTTGGAATCGATTAAAATTTCTAGTTTGTTAGATCCTGGACGTCAAATTCCTCGCATTTTTCCGATTTGTCCGTTGCGGGTACCAAAACAGCTTTGCCACAGAACTTACACAACATTCAATGGTGTTCTCAAGCTCCTGGATACACAGGTGGAAACCAGCTCTGAGCTGGGCTTAGGAAAATTTTCATCGGTTTTCAGCCGTATCTTCACAGCATAAAGATCAAATTGATGTGGGGTCTATTTAAAATCATAAGGGTGCATAGATCCTGCTGGCTACACAGGAATGCTAAGTTGGGAATAACCAAGCGACTTATTTGAAATTTTCCTCAAGTTAGCACGTATGTTTCATTTACGAGTAAAGAATATTTTACATGTTATAGTGGCATGTTAAGGTATATGAACGTCACAGTCGGTCTGAAAATAGGTATGCCAATTACGTGGCTTAATTGTCGTGAAAATCTTCATGACTATTTTCCGAGAAGCTTCGTTATGGTTGTGAATAGTGTATTTTGTCTGAAGGTTCGCTAATCAATATAACATTGTGTCGTAAGAACTATAGTTTGTGTTTGATAAAGTTATTTTGAATATTATTTGGTCACGACTCGATTTAATAACTTTTCTAACCCTTTTGGAGAATCTTTCTTTAGAACCTTAACATTAGGTTACAAAGGCCATTCCAATTTGCTAATCAGTATAAATTCACGGTGAATCAAGTGTATGGCAGGGCTTTTGGAGTTGATAACTGTTGCTATGCTCAGACTCGCAATACGTAGCTACTACCTACGTGTACCTATGTAAGTCAAAATGCAACCAAATGCATTTGCAAACCAATGACTTTACATGTAAACAATCAGTCGCTTATACAATTTTCATACATTTCAGTTGTATGTAGTCCGAACCAAACCCCATTAAAGAAAGTTCCAGTACCTAGATCTAAGATTTATTATGAGTTACACGTAATAAACTCACCGTGAAAGCCGGCAGACTGCATAACTCAGTGCATCCGGTACAGCATGCACCACAAGTATTCCTTGGCCTTCCAGAAACCGAAGAATCAAGTTCACTTACACGAGCAAGCAACTGGATATCGTCACACAACCATGGAAACGTTTTGTAAACAGTGTTTTCTTTCAAAACTCGACCGGTGCCAGTGAATCGAATGTTTAAATCGAGTCGATCGACACGGTGCGTTTTATTTCTCGATTTTCGACGCGCCGGACGTGCGTGCTGCCGCCTCGGAGCGGCCGGTGGCAATAAACTTGCAAACTAGCAGCTAGTGTTGCGAAAGTGAGGTCAAGATACCGGTACAATCGTCTTCCAAAATCGGCAGTAGTATACCGGAAGATTTATGGAACGAATGACGGATAATAGAGAACCATTTTCTGTTTGAACCCAGTGACAAAATTCTACTCTTTGTCAATTATTTGTTTCATAGTTTCTCAAAAGACCTGCTAAGTAATGCTGGTGAATATTTTCTCACAGCAGTTGGCACTGTCAACTTGAAAGTGGCTGTAAAAAGCTCGGAAAATCGTAATTCGCAGAATTTTTAAACCAGGTAGAGACAAAACCATGCTGCAAGTCTGTAAAGCGTGCTTTTTTTTTAATTTCTGCTATATTCAAAACCGGAAATTATATCGGAAAATCGGCAACACTTACATCACTGACATCGCCGCGACATCTACGAGAGATGTAAAGCATCTAGAGTTTAGCACGCGATCAAATCGATTAATCGAACGCTTATAAACGCGGAAGATCGGAACAATGGACAATAGTGGACTGAAATTAACGTCTAGATACAGACGACAGCAAATCACATACATTTTGTTGCAAATTAGCTCCTATTTCGTCTACATAAGATGCTACAGTGTTTAGCAAGATGTGCTATCGTCTGTAAGTACTTAGGTAGGTGTTTTATATTGCAGCTGCAGCAGGTGTTTCATAGTACTCTTGGTAACTGAAAATGCCCGAGGCTTACAATTTTAGCATGGCCGCAAGATCTAAGGCCATATCTATGAAACATCACTCAAAACTCCTTCCAAGTTCAATCATGGATGAGTGGAATATCAATATTTTGTAATATTTATAAGTTACTTGAAGCAATATACACTTGACTTTGACTCTACATCAATGAAATGCGCAAATTTTTCTGCTTGAGTGTCGTCTTAATAATTTTAGGTGTCCTTTAAAATAAATTTGTTTTTCTATTTATTTTAGTACAGGTTTGCTACTGAGTTAAGCGACGTGTTTTTGTAAACACATTAGGTACCTTTTTTTTTTTTTAGTTATAGACAACATTATTTTGTAGAAAAAAAAAGAACATTTTGTATTTTTAAGACTTTATTTGCATCTGCGGGAAATTGAAAAATGACCCGGTACCACGCCGAGTTTTCAAAATTGTATAATGTATCTAACTACAATGATAAGAATTTATGTAGTATAACTCTTCACCAACAAAGTATTCTACAATGAAACTGTGTGCAAAACCATCTACCTACTGTCTGGTTCAAAGTGTATGCTACAAAACACGGAAACTAGTTTTATTACAAAAAAGATAGGACTAAAGATAACTTGATCTTGCCAAATCATAGTTCAAAGTGCGCAGCCTTCATGCGTTACAAACTTACAAGTAAGTAGCTCCTTAGTTGAACACTTCAGCGTCTTATGTAGGGCTGTCATGTTTTCATCAATAAACAGAGAGTCATCCAAGATTATGGCTTGATTTATAAGGTTTTGTTGAGATATTACGACTATTGTTGAATATTTTGGAAAAAGAAATAGACACACCTTCAACCGGTCCAATCAGATGACATCCATGTATCAGACCAAATATCTGATTAGCTAAATATTATAATTTTTTAAGATCTTGGAGATCTGGGCTGGTCATCCAAATTTTTAGCTATACTGTTTTCAGCTTTCCCAATTTAGCAACCCTAAGTCCGAGGATTCTTGTACGTTAGCTCCAAGTAGGTAGTACCTACTTACTTACATAGAAGAAACTGCTTGTTATTCTTTGGCGTAGTTACTTTGATAAAGCCCTTATTAGAAAATTTTCCTCGTTTTTGTTCTACTTAGTCAATTGTAAAAACAAGATATAAAATATAATTGATTAATTATTTTTTAATGAATGTAGAGTTATTCTGCTCATTAAATAAGTTTAGAAAGCTCTATTTATTATTTTTTTTTTCCTTCATGAATCTAATAATGGTCCTTTGATTTGACTTGACAGTCACTTCATGGTATCTACTCGTAGGTAGCAACTAAAAAGTATTTTGCAATTTATTTAGTTACTCCTTGGGTCTCTATAAAAAGACAATATGTAGCTGTATAAGTATTACGTGTGTATAAATACCAGCTTAATCATTACATCTAAAGCTCGGCTTTTGTTGAAACCTGAACATTGTTGGCATTTATTTTGTACAATGAAGTTTCGTCTAATTATTACGCTGCTTGATCTAACGTAATGATGTTATTATTATGATATTTTTTGCTATGTTTATCAAGTCTCTATCGACTACTAAGAATTTAAAGTTTACTCCTTAATCGTATGCGTTTCGTGGAACTGGTTTTTTTGCTAAGATTCGCCGGTCATAACAGTAATAATAACATTTTTACTACGTAGTAAGGATAAATAAACACTGTATATTATTAAGCTTTTGTCTCGGAAATAATATAAAACTAAATGAAAATATAAACAGGAAAAAGTCCCGTGAAAAGGAGTCCAATTTCCAACTCTCTTTCCTAATACACTACAACTCCTGCATTGCGAGATGCTGTAGGTCGCCAATGAAACCCTACTGGTGATGTTAGAGTTAGAGTAATCCTATCAGAGACCTAGCTTAGGAACTCACAAAGAATTAATTAATTGATAGCTCTCCTAGACAAAGTTACAAAGGCCTAATAATAAAAAGGTACTCTCATTGTCTCGTTCGTTCTTTCGTTTCAGCCGAAAGACGTCCACTGCTGGACAAAGGCCTCCCCCAAGGATTTCCACAAAGACCAGTCCTGCGCCACTCGCATCCAGGCACCTCCCGCGACCCTCACCAGATCGTCGGTCCACCTAGTGGGAGGCCTGCCCACGCTACATCTTCCGGCTCGTGGTCGCCACTCAAGAACTTTCCTGCCCCACAGAACTTCTCTTGTCTCACAGAAGCGAAAAAGATTTCTTTCTCTAGGAGGCAACCGCCGGATCCGCCGGAACATCAATAGTTTTCATAGTTTAATAAAACATAGCTCAACAAATAGTATTAATGAAAACATCATTCAAATTGTCCAAAATAGAGTTCGATTTTAATTTGCTCTCTGTTAACGTTAATTATAAATACTGAAGTATTGAACTTTGCTTTCCGATTCAACAATAATATTTATTTTGTTTTTCCAAAGCACTAATTGGCGATAATCAAAGCGTGGGCAGAATAGTGGGCGTCCATCACGAAACTATTCTCAGTAATATTATGTTTATCGGACTTGTTTTTGCTGCTATTAACATTAATTCCGAATAATACCTTATTTCCATCTTATATTTGGGTGTTACGTCCTAGCTGTTAATTTTTGTTCGACAAAAACTTATCTATATTGCCTTTAAGCGTCTGTTTGGAAAATCCAAGACTACTTAGTTTAGTAAAACCCGAAAATCATCTATTATCTTAGTTAGTTATTCGCTTTTTATTATGCTTACCTACGTATTAATTTTTTCCTTGACATGGCATACGTGAATGATAGCATGTAATAATGCATCTAGTGTCCTCATTATACCTGTGTTATATTATCTTATTATCCATAATCATATTAATCATCAAGGACAGTCCACCACTGATCGTCCCCCAAGAAGTGTTACCTACTAAACTTGATTTCCACCTATTTACCACACTATACAAAAATATCTAACTTTACCTTACTTATAACTTAAATAAGTTAAACAAGGTAGGGTAGGTCCTGAAAATTAGCTTTGAGAGGTCTTGTTTTTAAAACGGAAAACGACCTATTTCCATTCCACGCGTGGGAAGTTGTGGGCTCTGTCTGTAAACGTACTTAGACTTACCTACATAAATTATACTTTTCTTTTTACTTTTCTATTCACTTTCCCATTTTCGAAACAGCTCGTATAAAACATTTAAACACAACTTATAAAATAAAATATTCTTATCATACGCATGTTTAAACCATGATTTGTAGTCTGTTGATGTGCCTTAATTAATTAAACAGATTAATTTCTTATCCCACAGTTGATGCAGAGGCCTCAAGAGCGACCCTAGCACACCACCTAGTTTCCTTTGGAATGAAGGTGGCCACATGTCGTGACAAAGGAACATCGCTTGTCAACTAGAAATGCTCGAAAATTTAGCTAAATATCCCAGGTAATCTTGACATAGATGATATTATTTAAAAAATTTTTTTAGCAGAAGAGGCTCCGTGAATGCGGTGGGAGCCCAGGGCCAGATTTATACGTCTGGAGGCCTCGGGGCAACAAAGATGTGGAGGCCCCCTGGCCCAATTTTCCAAATAAAAAGGACAATACATATTTTATATAATATTAATAATTATGTCTGTACAAAGTACTGTAGATAAAAGTAAAACGCGAAAAAAATATCAAAGGAAAAGTGGTTTTCTAGTCTGAATTTGATTTTTTAAGTCTATTGTGGGGACCCCCCTCTTTTGTGGAGGCCTCGGGGCTGTAGCGCCGGTTGCCCTCCCTTAAATCCGGCCCTGGGAGCCCCTGGGCAATTGCTTACACTTTCTGATGAATGATTCGGTCCTAGGGGCCCTGTAGCCTGGGGCCCCGGAATCATTGATACGACTAATCGGCGGTAGAGACGCCCCTGACTGAATATCACCGATAACTACTGATAAGGTTAAGTTACGGACAGATATCAAAGTAACGTTACCTTTGTTATTAATGTTATTGTAACATGATGGAAGTAAAATTACTCAAGCGTTACTCAAAGCTCTGCCTGTTATAAATAAATAATTTTCTAAGAAAAGAACGATGGTGCTAATTACCAGCCTTGTATTATCCTATTATCTATTATTAGTAGATAATAACGGTTAACTGGTAGAGATTGCCAGTATGTTCGCTTTTTGTACTGCAGTTAAATAAATAAATGGAAATATCGCTTTTAAATAATTTCGTTTTTGCTTCCCAGGCAAACGGTTTCAAGTCTATGAAAAGTGATACACAGAGTTTGCATTGCGAATGTTTGAGATCTCACACGATTCTTTCTATTACATCATCATTAATAGAAAATTGTTTTCTATTTGCAGTACGACCACATTTATTAATCAGTCGCCTATACATATTAACATATATAATATATTAAAAGCATTTTCTTGATATTTATTCAGCTGTAAAACAAGGTGCGTAGGCTTAAATAAATGTTGGTCTAACTTTAACATGAAAAAAAAAAACTCCAAAATTAAAAACTACAAATGCTCAAAACAAAATAGAATCATTAACACGACGTTTTACTTTTTCAGAACAAATGGCAGAGACAGAAAACTGCATCAGTCGTTTTTTCCAGCCAGCTACTTCAAACTTGTCATCAAGGAGCCCCTTGAAAGTTCCTTCGACAACGGAAAATTTGGATTCATCTCAAGATCTCAGCCAGTGTTCCATAGACTCTGATTCGGATTTAAGTCTATCCCAGCTGTCAATAGAAGACCACAAACCAATTAAAGTTCAACCATATTTTAATATAACCCCAAGAGAAATTCCCCAGTCGCCACACAACGTCATCGAGGAAGACTTCTCGGCCAATCCTTGGGCGATGTTAGTGGCAACCATATTCCTTAACAAAACTTCTGGAAAGTGTGCTAGGCCCTTGATGATAAGTTTCTTTGAACAGTATCCAACTCCTTATCACGTGCTAGAAGATACTCCGTCATCTTTGGAACGGTTTTTTGAAAATCTGGGCTTAAGGAAAAGAGGTCACATGATTTGGAAATTTAGTTATCAATTTGTTTCGTCAAGATGGCGTCGGGCCAGTGACTTATGCGGCATAGGGAAATACGGAGAGGATGCCTATAGGATATTCTGCTTGGGACACACAGATTTGGACCCTGCGGACAGATATCTAAGGTTGTATTTGGACTGGTTGAGGGGTCATACTGAGTTTTTGGAGGAACAAGGTGTGGTGGACAGCGAATACCTGATCGAAGATCCGGTTTTGAAATACTATAGGATTACATTGAGATATTGTGATTAGCTTGGGCCTGAGGATAATTTAATTGTTTGTGATAATAATAATTAAGAAAGAAGTAAGAAAACTAACCATGTTAAAATTTTATAAAATCAATTTTACTGATTTCAGATTTTATTTTACTTTTAAGAATTGGAAATTAATTTTATTTAATAACTAGCTTTCCGACCGCGGCTTCGCCCGGGGTTATCCCGGAAATTATTCGATTTTTTCTCGCCGTAAAAACCATCCTTGGACTTTAACGAACGTAAAAAAAAAAAGAATTGGTAAAATTGGTCCAGGCGTTGTTGAGTTATGCGCTTACCAACACATTTTGAGATAGATTTTTTTATAATAGATTAAGACTATTGTACACAATTGCCTATCACTTCTATGTAAATTTTGTATAGGTTTTTGTAAGAAATAAATGAGAAATTGTGTGCCATAAATTAATATTATTTGTGTTCTTTGTTGTTTTCTCGTATAACCTGCTTATATCACTTGATGAATGAGGGAAGACTGCCATGCGAAATGATGAACAAAACAGTTACTTTAATATAATTTTATTTAACTTATAAATATCTTAAAAAAATCCATATTAATAATTTTGAGGGGCTAGCTAGGGGGTAACTGGATAAGGAATGAAATGACACAATTTAGATCAGTGGTTCTTAACCTTTAAGTCACGAGGGACCGTTTTACCAAATGTCTGTCTTGTCAGGGAACACTTTTTTTTTTTCAAATCCTTTGAAAGGGGAGGTCGATTTCTCGCCCATTGTTGGCCGTTTGCATTGTGTTGACTCGACTCATCACGTCACGTCACTTGTTTATTACGATGTCTTCGTGGACCACTTGGAATGCCTCCAGGGACCACCGCGGTCCGCGGACCACCGGTTAAGAACCACCGATTTAGATAAACAAACATGAATAACAATATACCTATTTCGTGCTTATAGTAGGCTGCTCTCGGCGAGATTCGATCCCGCAACTGCAGCATCAGAGATCACCAGACCAGTCGATGGGCCATCTTTGATCCAATTTTACGGGTTTGTATGAGATAAAATGTTCCACCGTCATAACACATGTTGGATATTGAAAACCCAAAGGCGTAGTGGCGGGTTCAATAAACTTGAAAAATCCAGGTTCGATTACTAGTCCAGTCAGTCTCGAAGAAATCAAAGTATCTACTTGATGTCTTTAATAACCTAGTGTATTAAACTAATCAGCTGTTACAGTTTGTTTGGGAGAGTGATTTCTTACAAGCTATATAATTCAAAGTTTATAATTAAAATTTTGTCATACTCATAGTCATTTATTCCTTAAACAATGACATTTAAAACCAGTAGCGGCGTAAGGGGGGGGCGGTGGGGGCGGTCCGCCCCGGGTGCCAAGCATCAGGGGGTGACACAAGTCGCGCAGATTATTACTCACTAGACATACTCTCTAATCTGCATAGCAAGTCTGGGGTCTATTGTCTTTCAATCTTCGAATCGGTAGGTAACCCAAAATCCTGGGGGTACCAGNCCCATGTTCCAGATGTCCTTAGCAAAGTATAGACCGGTGAGCGTTCTTGTAAAAATTAATGGAATTTTAATTAATATGGAAATAGATACGGGATCGGCAATTTCATGTATTAATGATAAAGTGTATAAACAAAAATTTATAAATGTACCTTTACAGTCATGCCAATTAGTTTTAACATTCTACGATGGAAGTAACATAAAACCGTTAGGTTTCATAAGTGTTGATGTACAATGTCAGGGCGTTACAAAAAAGCTAGATTTATATGTAATAAATAAAGGTACAACTAGTTTATTAGGCCGACAGTGGTTAGCCGAGCTGGAGATGTCTGTACCTAAAATTTGTATAAATACAATTAGTACACCTTTAATGGACGGTTGGAACAAAAATGAATTTGTTAAAAATCTCAATTACAGATTTAAAGAAGTGTTTGAACCCGGACTCGGGTGTTTCACGGGAGGGCGAGCGAGCCTGCGGCTGCGGGCGGGGGCGGAGCCGGTGTTCTGCCGCGCGCGGCCGCTGCCGTACGCGCTGCGCGAGCGCGTCGACGCCGAGCTCGACGCCATGCTGGCCAGCGGCGTCATCGAGCCCGTGGAGCACTCCGACTGGGCCACTCCTCTGGTAATCGTACACAAGCCGGATGGTTCTTTACGTCTCTGTGCAGATTTTAAAACTACTTTAAACAGGGTTTTGTTGGTAGATAAATATCCAGTTCCGAAAATAGAAGACTTATTTACTCTTTTAAATGGCAGTCAATATTTTACAAAAATTGACTTATCACAAGCGTACAATCAAGTTTTGTTAGATGACAGTAAAGAAAATGATTGTACAGGTCTAACGGTCATTAATACGCATAAAGGTTTGTTCAAATATAAAAGATTAGTGTACGGACTAGCGTCTAGCCCAGGTATATTCCAAAGAATAATGACTAATCTGTTTAGAGAGCTACCAAACGTAACTGTGTTCTTAGATGATATCCTGATTTCAAATACTACTAGAATAGACCACGAAAAAAGCATAGAAAAAGTCTTTAAAATATTAAAGGAAAATGGGTTAAAGATAAAGAAACAGAAGTGTGAATTTTTTTCTCACCAAGTAAAATATTTAGGTTACGTAATAGATAGGGACGGTGTGCGAGTAGATCCAAGTAAACTGGAACCAATAATCCAGATGACAGCACCTACAACCGTGTCGGAATTGAAATCTTTTCTAGGAATGGTCAATTTTTACGGTAAATTCATTAAAAATTTAAGCGTTTATCTGGCTCCTCTGTTTGACTTGTTAAAGAAAAATAACAGATGGTCATGGGGTAGTACCGAGCAAAGAGTTTTTGAAAAGGTGAAGGGCCTGTTGAAAAGCGCGGGCGTGCTGGCACACTACGACGCGTCGCGCGCCGCGGTGCTGACGTGCGACGCCGGCCCGCGNGACTAAGAGTTGACATATTTTTGTGGAATGACCCATTTAGGGCATTCATCAGACAAAAAAAATAAGTCGTTTATCAATCAATTAATCATTTTTATTTATTTGTATTAGTATGTCCATAAAAAGTGTTTAAACGATTTATCAAGGTTTTAATTTTGCCCTACGATTTTGCCATCCAACTCGTTGGATTGAGTTTTAATTAGGGAATGTAGGTCATGAGTAGAGTATTACTTTTAAAAGGATACCGAAAATGTCAATTTCACCCAGTATATTATTAATATTTATAATAAAATATAAAACAAAAAACTAAATAAATAACAGAATTAAAAACCAGTCCGTGATCCATCCCGTTTTAAATGTCCTCACACTTCCTTTGTCGGAAAATGCCATGCAATGACGACGCTACCGTGTTTGCGTGTTGTTATCATTATTATAATCTATCCAAGTCTTATTACTACTTTGAATCACAATTATTTATTTTTAGACATTACAAGCCCAATTTATAATTTAACTTAATCAAATTATCATGTATTAATTTTCATCAATGGCAAAATAGGTTTTGCGATGTTTTAAACACTCGCGCCATTGTGTTTCATAAATAAACCAATAGGGCGCTTTACGGAGTACCAACATCAAGTAAAAGTTCCGGAGTGATTGCTCGCCGCAGTGTTGGCAGCAGTGTCGACTGTTGCAAATGGTGGATTGCGTTTCTTTTTCTTGTGCTCTGTGTAAAATATTTACGTAAAATAGTGTTAAATTCGTGGTGCGGTGTTTCTGACTATCGTAAACATGTCGGAAACACTGCCGAATACAAAAAAACAAGTTCCAAGGCAACTGGTGAGTGTTTATTGTTAATTTTTTACGTATTTAGTCCCGGGTGACGCCATGGTGGCTTTATCTGGGATCACGTAAACATGAAATGGTGCATCGCTGCATCGTGTATCGATTTACGAAACTTTTGAGATTAAATTAGGTGTTCCTATGATGGCTATGATATCAGGTGTGATGATCATCATTGAGGGTCATCGGACTCGGTTTTTTGCGATCACGCTGCTCGCGACCGAGTTTAAACGCGGCGGCCGTATGCAGTCGCGCATGCGAGAAGGTGTTAAAATCTATAATAGTTACAGAGATCGCAATATTGTGTTATAGCGACTTTGGAAATTCGGACTTGGTCCGTAGAGTTGCGCGCTGCGATGTTTGCAGGGCATGATTTCTGCTTCTGGTAGGGAAGCGACGAAGGCGTATCCCTCCCGCGGCCGAGTGTCGGACAGGCGGCCGCGAGCTTGCGCGGTGCCACCACACGTCGGGCTCGTTCCTAATCTACTTTATTACTCGTCTAATCTTCCGTCCCGCCGAACAATTACTCGATGTCGGCCGAGAGTAGATCGCCCAAAAACATAGTTACATGACATATTGATTGCTAATTTTTCATACTAATTCCACTTCCATACACTTAAATACTTACTTCCCTTTGTTCTACTCGTTAAAAACATTCATAAACCGAAGTTTATTTTTATTGTTAAGTTTATGGTCAGTGTATAGGAAACGGGGCGCTATGGGGCACGAGACTTAGAAAAATTTTTATGAAAAAAATTTTTTTTTTAATTTTTGGCTTTTTTTGCCGGGAATGTTTAGAATAGATAAAAATAAGACTAATCTTCAGATAACTTTTTTTTCTAGGACCAACCGTTAACTTTCTAGAGCCAATTAAAAGTGCGCTATCAACACTTAGAATAATTTCGACGAGTTTTTTTTTTCTTCAATTATTCCTTGTTTTCTTGCAAGAATCGCATAGAAGACGTAAAACAAAGCACAAAAGCTTATATGGTCTACCTCTCTAAAACAAACGCTTTCAGATTTAGAGCCAATTAAAGGTGGCTTCCGACACTTAGAATAATTTCGATCAAAAATTTTTTTCCCGAAAGTGGCGATTCTTTTGATGCCATCATGTAGGGGACCTCAAACCAAGAAGAAAAGGTCATGTACTTCATCCCCGTAGGACCAACCCCCGACCCTCTAGAAGCGATTAAAGTTTTACGGTTTTTCCAAAAAGTTCTAATTTTCGCAAATCTNCTTTTAATTGGCTCTAGAAAGTTAACGGTTGGTCCTAGAAAAAAAAGTTATCTGAAGATTAGTCTTATTTTTATCTATTCTAAACATTCCCGGCAAAAAAAGCCAAAAATTCAAAAAAAAAATTTTTTTCATAAAAATTTTTCTAAGTCTCGTGCCCCATAGCGCCCCGTTTCCTATACTCCAACCAAATAAAAAGAGGCTGATTTTAGCAAAAAACGATAGAAAAAGTTACTCGGAAAAGAGAAAGTCTGTCTGAAAGTTTTTTGTAATTCAGACTAAAATTCTTTCACTCTTAATAAATAATCAGTTCTGACTAGACAAAATAGGCGAATGGCAAAAATACTATGATTATTTTGTCTGTTGGCACTATCATGATTAGATAAATATAAATGAAACACTTATCTGATGCTTCTTACTCATTTTTAAAGAACTCATAGCTATTTAATAGGCTGAATCCATAAAAAAATTAATTACTATGTAAAATGAAATTTTAATACTTTTTTTTGTAAAAAATGTTTTTTTTTTTCATCAAAAACGATCATAAATAATATCTTCTACATACACAGTTACTAGATCATCTCTCTCATCTCTGTAACATTTGAGTAGGCCTACCTACTTTAACTATTTCATCACAATAAACTAATCATGAGCAGGAACAGATTAAAAATGTAAATTCAATTTAAAATAAAAAAAAAACTTATTTTCTTACAAAGGCACTAAGTTAATTGTTTTTTTGCCAGCGTGAACGCAAGCAACGTAAACTTTATTCCGATGAGTGGGCTCTCGGAGACGATGAAGTGGAAGGTGGCCGGGGCTTCTCTCTTGCTGACAAGCTGGAGAGTCCCCGCTTTGAACACACCGGTGCTGTACTGGAGATGCATGGAACGGACATCACCATTTCCTACCTGCAGAAGAACGGATTCACCACTCCGTTGCTGTTCAAAGAGAAGACCGGACTGGGGCTGAGGTTGGTATATTTTTGAAGTCTATCATCATCATCATTTCAGCCATAGGATGTCTATTGCTGAACATAGACCTCCCCCAACGATTTCCATGTTGACCGGTTAGAATATTTTTGAAGTACTTATTATTTTGTAATTCTGCAGTTGAATGGCCCTGTATGTTCAGCTGCCAGTACCTTTGTATATACATTATTGTTATTTTAAACAATAGCCAAGTCATACTATGTAATCTCAACAATATCCATACCTAAACAAATTCCCTTTCAATTTTACATCTAAGTCAGCCAGTCAGTCATTTACTGTAGTACTTGATATTCACAAATTATTGTAAGTTTATTTTTAGTACCTACATGATATTATTTTTATTTTATTTACGTAATTTTTGGAAGTAGGTACAACATTAAACTCCGAAACAGTTAACTATTTCTTCACATAGCAGAGTTGCAATGGAAAATAAATTTTCCGTTTTTTTACTGGTCAAAAAGTTATCACCCAAGACCTAAAAATACCGTGTAGGACATTTGGCGTAAAAATTTGCGCCGAGGACCGGTTTCATTAACATCCCAATCAGGTAAAAATGTTTTGAATATTCGCAAGGGTTTTCCAAAAAATATCGTAAATCTTTTTTTAGTTTAATAGTGGAAATGTATATTAGAGGAGAGTAATAAGTTCATTATGAAAAAAAACTAGTATTTTTGTCAAATTAAAGCCCTTAATTAATGACGAATGACCAGAGATTCTGATTCTTCCCTGTCATTTATTCCTTCCTGAATCCTGGTCAACCACATGCATTGATGGAAGAGATGGATCTCCCATTGTCTTTGTTTTCGATTTAAAAAATCAACACAAGCAGTACCAGTAATGTGACTTTCCCTGTGTGCGCCATTACGAGCACTGCCATTTAATTAGTTAATGAAGGTGCCAAATTGTTTCGAAACGAAAACCTGATCAAGTTAAAAATGTACTTCACAACGTTTACAATACGGAAGACGTTGTTTTATTAATCATGTAACATGATTGTAGGAGTTTTAAATTACTTGCATGTTTTAGGGTTCTGTAATAACTTTTCCAAATCGGAAGTTCGGAACCAATATGATCACTCACGTGATTGTCTATCAGTATTGTCTATTCCTGGCGATAAACAAAGTAAAGGGAATATTCCTTAATTTTTACGCCAAAATCATGTATTAAAATGTTCAAAAGATATAGGTACGGGACCCCTTGGACACAGATATGACTCGCACTTTCGGTGTTTTAAGTTTTATTTTGTCACAGCAAGTTTTTATGACTTTATCTTTTCATTATTTAATTAAACGTAAAATCCATAGTTACAATTATGATGTGGTTACGTTAACCACACGCTATCAATGAATTGCTATTTTGTGATACCTATCTAATGTTTTTTAAAATTAAATGTTTTAGATATAATTTTACAAAACATTAAAATACAAGATTCAAATTAAAATATAAAGAAAACATTTTAGTATAAAGAAATGGCTCTTTTTTGCTCTGCCTGAGGACTGATAGATGCACATGATAAGTGGAAAACGTGAAAACTCATAATTTCGTTAGGAGTTTAAAATTATCAAATTTTATAAATAATAACGTGGGTGAGGGTCAAAAGCACGCGCTTTAAATCTCATTATAATTAATGTTGAAATTAACAGTTTGACACACTTTTTTATGTTGAAGAGTGAGTCATTGCAATTAAGTTGTGAATGTAATTCACGACAGTTAAATAAAATTGTGACTACAGTAGAATCCCGATTATCCGGATCAATAGGTATTCCGTATAATCGAAAATCCGGATAATCGATTTCAAGTAAAATCATACAATAATTAACTTTTTACAATAGAAAGGGTTTTCAATACATCATATTTTAGACTATTAGATAAATCTATTTCTTTTAATAATGAACCAAGACGACGTCCATATCGTGTTACGGTGGCGCCGCCTTGCCCTTTTGATGGGTACACTAGACTAAATCGGTAATTAGAACCGTGAAGAATGAGTTCTGATAATCGGATATCCGGATAATCGAGATTCTACTGTACTTATAGCGTGCAAACAAATCTGTTTATCAATGATCTTTTCTATGAAGTCAAACAATGCAAAGTTTAGATCTTCCAACTTACTATCAGTTGTGTAATTTGTGAAACCAAACTCATCAACTAAGGTAAAACACAAGCGATACTGAAACCACAGTATCAAAGTGCTGAAACTGTGCTGCCTATCGTTGATAGGACAAAACAAAGATTGCAAAATTGACACAAAATAACATTCTATGAAGAAATGCTGAAAACACTCAAATCACGACTCTGCGTAGTCGTGTGTGTGTGAAGTCTATAAATAACTGATAAATCAATTTTATGCGCGATGAAACTCCCTACTACATGACTTAGGTTGCCTATTCAGCGGGAACCCCGCACAGGCGAAACTGCATCTCCTGTCAAATGAAGGACATTGCTGAACGTGCCCATATAAATTATTCATTCTACAAAGTCGTGTTTCAGAATCAGATTGATTTTTTATGCCTTCAATAAATCAAAGCCGCTTAGGTGTTCAGATATTCATAAGCAGTGCATTTTCTGGAAATAGATATTTTACTGAACATTTTGTGTTGAAAATATTGGCCGTCACAAAAAGTAAAATATTGACTCTTTCCATGTATCACGCAGTAGCTTTACCGTAAACAACATGGCTTTTCCACGTCGATTCATGTATTATGAAATTAGGGATGTGGAGTATTTTCCACAATTTTCCCTAGCGTGCCTCACACTCATCGAACAAAGGCACGTCAGCAAAGGTATCTTTCGCAGGTGTATAGGCATCTGCCGGTTTACCTATACAAATAAAACAGCTATGTTTTACCTATTTTTAGATTGCGCGACAAGAAGTGGTTCGCTCGCTTAGATCGGCACAATTTCTTTTTTACAAAATGTGTTTGCATCAGTTTAACCTTATTTTCCAACAGAACCATCCATGTTTATACTTCAGGTCAGCCTTTATCAAAATTAATTTGCAATGAAAATGGACGCCTATCTATCATAGGAAATTAAGTATCTTCCGAACACAAAATTGGCAAATCCATCATCCCTGCACAAACCGCCCACAGAAATTGCATACGCCCGCCGACCGGCTTCATAAAGCCTCTACGCATCCATATTGCCTGTAGTCATTACGAAATAGGCAGACATTTCGCAAACCCCACCCGGCATAAATAAAGTGCATGTTATCAGCTCAGACATTCCCAAATCACGCATTCGATCTCTTTTACACGCGTCTCTACATTTTTTATGGAAGATTTTTGAGTGTCATCAACAAAGAAGCATTCCACGTATCAGAACTCGATTCCTATCAAAGTCGGCATACGATTGTGTGCGAGGTTTCCCCGTCGTGTCTTGGCGTCGACTGGCAGTAGTTTTAGCGCTAGGCGTCACCGCTCTGCGCATGCCCGTCCGCTACCTTCTAAATATGCGTCGGCCAATGGCAGAGGTGCATCAAGCAAAACACCGGCTGGCTTCGCTTGCCGGTTACTGGGTGGACTGAAACTGAAATCTGATTTCAAGGAAACTGTTTCGTAAGCTGCAGTAATGTTATAAAAGAGGGATCCGATACGACAGAGAAATGTCTTTCAGCATCTTTCAATTTCAGCAGTTTGGAAGACACTTTTAGGACTGTTGTTTCGTCTAGTTATCTATTTAGGTCAATAGGATTTGTATGGAATCTTTTGAAATGTGTAGCTAGTGTTTTTGCGTAACTGGACGAAAATCGAATATGATACTAAGCCACATCATTATCATTATCTTTTAAAGATAATAGAGCTATTAGGCTATCCTAGACAAAGACAAAATCTAGATTTATCTTCCTAATATTGTGCAATAGTGTCTTGTGTGAAAGTCTTGTAAACAAATTCAAAATGGTTGCATTTGTCGCGTCATTTCTGGAATCGACAAGTGTGTCAACCGTATATTCAGAATCTGAAATTATGCTAAGATAAATCAATGTTATGCTGTATTGATATGCTGCGACGAACATTTTCTGTGAGGCATTGAATCGAACAAAGGAGACGTTAGTAAAGTCGTTCAAAGCGCTCAGCGCTTTCGTTGTTTGTTTCGAGACTTCGATAACCGCAAACCGGCGTTTCCTGTCAGAGAGCATCGGGAACTGAGCCCCTAATCCCGAATAAACCCCGATCAGACCCGATCTAAGTTGCCTCCGGGCGTTCCCGCCACAGTAGGGGTATCTTCTTCTACGACTATCTTCAGAGCGGATAAAGCGCGCATGCGCGGATTTTATGCGCCAATTTGCTATTTTGCGTACTTATTCATCGCTTTAAAAACTTTGCGGACTTCCGAGTAGCTATTGCTCCAGGCAATCTTCTATGAAGTTACGTTTGTTTGGGATTTTGTTCGGCACTTTCGTGAAATTATAGGCTGATGCTGAATGTATGTCGATGATTTTTGGGCTATATCAGATTATTATTTACGTTTGTATGAACAATCATTCAAGAGCTTCGTGTTAAAGACAGACTATCGTCAACTGTGCAACTACGAATACTGAAGTTCTTTGTTCACGTTTCTAGAAATGATAACTCGATGGAGAGACTGGTAGTTCAGGGCTAGGTGGAAGGCAAGAGAGCACGCGGTCGATCGCCAACCCGCTGGATAGATGCCATCACAAAGGCCACTGAGTCCACCATGGTCCAGTGTACTCGCGACGCCTCTAACCGTCAGAAATGGAAGCACATCGCCAGGAGAGCTACCCTCGGAGATGACATCATCCCACCATGTACCTCGTCAGCGCAACCACGACCACTCTGACAAGAGTGCCCGACTAAGAAGAAGAACAATCATTAGATAAATAAATCGTGCAGACTGAATTAGTTAAAGGTTATGTTTACCCTGTACTGAAACATAATTTTCTGGATCAGTATACATATTGGTGTAAAAGCCCGTGGAAGCATCTGTAAAAACTGGGTTTTGGAGATGTAAAATTTTAATTGATGTCGAATAAAATCGAAGTCACAAGTTTTTCCTGAGTCTTCGTATCCTTTGCTATGTATTAGACTCAACGATAATATAGGTAATTTCATATTAATTACAAGTATGTAACCATAATCGCCCTTTGACATTTGCAGCACAATAAGAACTCACCCACAATGTTAAAAAGTTAAAAATAAATTATTGAAAAACTGGACTACATAAAGTTCCTTGAAGTAAAAGAATCCAGTCTGTATTTGAAACAAACTTAAGATTTCCCTTTTCCTGAAGAAACTTTGGGTTTGCTTACGCAATACAGAACCCTTATTCTGAAACGACGTTTCTACAACGTGTCCCAAAATTCAAGGATAAGCCGACGCCACAGGATGGACATAATCATGACTAATTTAGGAAAAATACGGAAAAAAATCTATCTCAATTATTTTTTAAGTTACACAATAAATTACGAAATTCTTCGAAATTTGACACCCCTTATGATATTTTACATTACCACGACCACTATTTTTCAAATATTCCTGTTTTTCTGTTTATATCGGCAACTTAAGTAGTGCTGCTGTTCACCCCAATTCTTAAAACCCCCAGAATCCTTGCAGTTTTTAAACAAAAGTTAATCAAAATTTGTTATTTCGTTAAAATTTTGAACGATTTTTACTTTCACTCCACTTTGACTCGTCGTTTTGTAAAAAAAAAGTATGAACACTACTGCGGCAAGTTTTTTAAAAAGTTGACGCAACTATCCAAGATTCCAAAATGGTATAATACTCTAAGAAAGCTAGTCGCAAAAAAGATATGCGTACCATTTTTACAAGCATTTCGCTTGTTAGTTAGTATGGGATAAATCTTGCAACTGAATTTAAAACCAGTTCTCCTTAACCAATTGAGCTGAAATTTGGTATACTTGTGTAAGTACGATGACAATGCAATATTATGGTACCATTGAGCTGGATGGAGTCTGGAGGTGGCCATAGGAACTCTTAACGAAACGGTGGAATGGCATCTAGTTTGGGTTCGTTGGACTTGTCTTTTCGAGCACTTTAGTGCAAGATGATGTCCAGGATCCTGATGATGAAGTCAAGAGGTGGCAGGAGCTGGCCATAGGAACTCCTAAACGAAACGGCGGAAGCTTATCGAGTTTGGGTTCGTTGGATTTGTCTTCCCGAGCACTTGGGCCATGAGATTGAGAAACAACTAAAAAGATTAAAATAAAGTTGTAATAAAAAAAACTTTTTTTAAAAACAAGCTTGACTTCGTTTGAAAATTATAATTGACTTCATCATCAGGACCCTGGACATCATCTAGCAATAAAGTGCTCGAAAAGACAAATCCAACGAATCCAAACTAGATGCAATTCCGCCGTTTCGTTTAGGAGTTCCTATGGCCAGCTCCTGCCACCTCTTGACTTCATCATCAGGACCCTGGACATCATCTAGCACTAAAGTGCTCGAAAAGACAAATCCAACGAATCCAAACTAGATGCAATTCTGCCGTTTCGTTTAGAAGTTCCTATGGCCACCTCCAGTCTCCATTCAGCTCAATGGTACCATAATATTGCATTTTCATCATACTTACATAAGTATACCAAATTTCAGCTCAATCGGTTGAGGAAAACTGGTTTTAAATTCAGTTGCAAGATTTATCCCATACTAACTAACAAGCGAAGTGCTTGTAAAAATGGTACGCATACCTTTTTTGCGACTAGCTTTCTTAGAGTATTATACCATTTTGGAATCTTGGATAGTTGCGTCAACTTTTTAAAAAACTTGCCGCAGTAGTGTTCATACTTTTTTTTTACAAAACGATGAGTCAAAGTGGAGTGAAAGTAAAAATCGTTTAAAATTTTAAGGAAATAACGTATTTTGATTAACTTTTGTGTAAAAACTGCAAGGATTCTGGGGGTTTTACGAGTTGGGGTGGACAGCAGCACTACTTAAGTTGCTGATACAAACAAAAAAACAGAAATATTTGATAAATGGTGGTCGTGTGAATGTAAAATATCATAAGGGGTGTCAATTTTCGAAGAATTTCGTTATTTATTGTGTAACTTAAAAAATAATTGAGATAGATTTTTTTCCTTATTTTTCCTAAAGTAGTCATGACTATGTCCATCCTGCGGCGCCGGCTTATCCTTGAATTTTGGGACACGTTGTATATGAATTTATATTAGTTTAGGTACTCAAGAGTTGTTTAAAAATTGTAATTCATCCAATTACTGCCTTGATAAATGCTTGAGTTAGAAAATACTTTTATTTGTCCTTTTTGAAATCTAACAACGGCACGTGAACATAAACATTGTGGCATCATATTTTATGTGGATGTAACAGTTCCTATTTTTGAACATAAATGTATACCTAATCTGATGTTATGTTGTTGTACCTGAAGTCAAAAGTCAAATTGACTATTGAAATACATACATAGTACTTACAAATCGTCAAATTGAATATTAGTTTTGCCTTTATAGTCTTCACGTGTCAGTAAATAATAATATCTTCCTAAAATATCTTTGTCTTATAATCTTTTTGCTCTACCATAAGTAGACGTTGAACGAAATCGTTCTTACGATCTTTTCAAAGTACTTACAAATCGTCAAATTGAATATTAGTTTTGCCTTTATAGTTTTCACGTGTCAGTAAATAATAATATCTTCCTAAAATGTCTTATAATCTTTTTGCTCTACCATAAGTGGACGTTGAACGAAATCGTTCTTACGATCTTTTCCCAGTAATTACAAATCGTCAAATTGAATATTAGTTTTGCCTTTATAGTCTTCACGTGTCAGTAAATAATAATATCTTCCTAAAATATCTTTGTCTCATAATCTTTTTGCTCTACCATAAGTGGACGTTGAACGAAATCGTTCTTACGATCTTTTCCCAGTACTTACAAATCGTCAAATTGAATATTAGTTTTGCCTTTATAGTCTTCACGTAAATATCTTTTTCTTTTAATCTTTTTGCTCTACCATAAGTGGACGCTGAACGAAATCGTTCTTACGATCTTTTCCCGCCTTTACAGAGTGCCGACTAGCAACTTTACCGTGAACGACGTGCGCATGTGCGTGGGCTCCCGCCGCTTGCTCGACGTCATGGATGTCAACACGCAGAAAAACATCGAGATGACAATGAAGGTGGGTAGAAAGTTTGCTTGCCAGCCGCAAAAGAAGTTGGAACTTTTTGGAATGAACTCTCGAACTACTCGGAAAAAGAAGTGGAAACTTTTTAGAGTAAACTCTTTGTTGAATTGCGGTGTATGTACAGTTTTAGCGCCGTCATACTTTGAGTGTTTCATTGAGTCACAAGCCACCTTGTTTGTGATTCGACCACTTAAACATTTTGGTTGTTGTTGAGTACTTAAAGCCCCTTCATGTGATTATTAGGGTTAATTTAATTTAGACATATTTTTGTAAATAATGACGTCCGAATGTTGTGAATGGGCCTAAATCTTCGACCGTGCTTTGTTATGTAGAGTTCTTGTCCTAATACAGTTAACAATAAAAATAAAAAAGTATTTTCGACACTTGTTGTTATTGTGATAGCTTAGGTACACGATTCAACATCCCAAATTGTTATTGGCCTTAAAATTAGTTCGGATTTAGATGAGGCACTTAATTTGACGAAATATGTATTGAAAACGAAAAAAACATTGTTTTTGAATACCCAAAAAGTTGACACCAACATTAGACCCTGCAGCAGACTTTATTCCTCATTTGCTCAATCACTACGTAACTTGTTCAGGACTGGCAGCGTTACTACGACGACCCGAACAAGGAGCGTCTACTCAATGTCATCTCGCTGGAGTTTTCTCACACCCGCCTCGAGAACTACGTCCAAGCGCCACGCATAGTGCGCCTCATCGACTGGGTGGACACCGTTTGGCCGAGACACCTTAAAGACCAGCAGGTTGGTATAACATTGGGCATTTGACTCTGGCATATCGCACTCTTGCCTTGAGAACTACGTCCAAGTGCTACGCATAGTGCGCCTCATTGACTGGGTGGACACCGTTTGGCGAGACACCTTACCAGCAGGTTGGTTAATTTATTAGTAACTGCTTTACGTCGACTAGGTGGACACCGTTTGGCCGAGACACTTTAAAGACCAGCAGATAGGTAAAGCATAAGCTAGTTTCTGTCATCAAAATAATGATTCTAATACACGACTTCTTAAAAAGAACACAATTCTATCCCTGAAAACCTTATCGATTATGTTGTGATCTATCGATATAATTCCGATAATGTGCAATAATTATACACTTACAAAGTGTTTTATATGTATAGGCAGTTGCATAAAATTGTAATATCACAGTTGCTCAAATGGTACAAAAATAATAGTTCGTATTAATTAGCGAATCGCGTACATAAACAATGCGTTTAATAAAAGTTATATTTAATGAATATTAGTTAGACAGCTGTACATTTTATTGCTGAACATTTTTGCGACTCCATTTTTTATGACTAGTTTCTCGACACTTCATATGCATACATTTAAAAAGAATATCCATGAAGACATTTTTAAAGTTATAAAAAGTCGTACTTTTTTGCTGTCAGGTTTTTTATTTACACTTTTTTAACTGGGAAAATTAACAAAAAATAAATATATTTGAATTGCAAAGAGCCCAATGTTAACATGTCTTTATCCTTCTTGACATAATTAGTGGACTGATTGCCTTATTTTCTACAGACGGAGTCGACCAACGCACTCGACGACATGATGTACCCCAAAGTGCAGAAATACTGCCTGATGTCGGTCAAGGGTTGCTACACCGACTTCCACATCGACTTCGGGGGCACTTCTGTGTGGTATCACATTTTGAGAGGTAATTAGGATTTTTAAAATGTGTTTTAGCTGATTTAGAACTTTATGTCATAGGTTGAACCCTTTAAGCGGCAGTGGGAATACAGTTTCCACCATATTTTGAATTTGAACTTTGTTCCTTTGTCTAAAACAATTTGAACTTGTTATGCCCGTTATACAGGCTTAATGTTATAAATATAGTTTTTTAAATATTTCATGATCACCTTTGCCCTAAATATCCTCAAGACGCTTCTCAATTGATTTTTAACCTAACGCAACAAGAAATAAGATTCAAAAACCTTTGATTGCACGTACAGACGACGGCACATCCGGGTAATCTATGGTCTCTTATGTAATTGTGATAGCGGCTATTTTGCAACGTAAATGTATAGTCTGACGTGCTGTCGACTGTATATTGAGTATACTTTTGTTTTCGAACCTAAAGTCGTAATGTTATCTGATTGACTTTTAAAAATAGAAGTAGGTTAATAGCATCTATGTGCATCACTGCAGGACAGTAGGTCAGCAAGACATACTGAGGCCTAATAAGTAACTAGAATTGATTAAGATTCAAAATATTTGATTGTGTATTAATACTGGCCTATATCTTAATAACATGACTAAACATCGACGTTTGACATGGTAGGTGTGACATTGACAGGAGAGCGCTACTATCGATACTGGAATATAAGTTCCGATTTTGCCTCGTTGGATAAAACAGAAGTATCCATTGATATTATGACATTTACAGGAGGGTGCTACTATCCATAGTGGGGAACTAATAGTTCTGCCCCCCTAGACAAAACGCACTTTTTGATCGAATCGAAAATCGAATCCGTCAAAACTCCATACAAAAAAGGGGCTTTTAGACCACTTTTCGACTGGTTTGCGATTATAAAAAACTCCATACAAAAAGGGGCTTTTCTACCACTTTTCGACTGGTTTGCGATTATAATTTGCACTTTAGATCTAAACCCATTGATTTTTGCCACTTGAAGTTTCAGAAACGTTGCACTATTATCACCTATTGACAAACAACAGTTTTCATTCATAATGTTATTGCAGGTGCAAAGGTATTCTGGCTCATACCGCCCACTGAGAAGAATCTGCAGCTCTACGAGAAGTGGGTGCTTTCTGGCAAACAGTCTGACGTCTTCTTCGGAGACACTGTGGAGAAATGTATTAGAGTTCACGTGAGTACAGATCCATATTAACTAATTCATTATTTTCTGTTATGATACTTTGTTACTTTCCAAAAAAAAAAAATACTCAAAATATGCGTTAAAAGTTAACTGACATTTAACTTAATACCACGAATCGATGAAATGAAACTAAATTGGTGTTGTGAATCGCCAAATGACGCCACTACTAGCGAGTGAAGTTCTGACACTTGCTTATAGCTATAACAGTGGCGCTAACTGACTGGTGAGTGCTGAAGCGGCAGGACTATCGCTTTTGCAGTTACCAGATTGGCACCACTACTGAGTAAGGTACACGAGTAAGGTCCTATCACTCGCCAGTGGCGCCAACTGATGAGCGTAATTAAGGAAACCCTCCTAAGTGAAAAGTGATGAAAATGGATAACATGTTGATATTGGACTATTGTTGTGCAGTTGCAAGCGGGCCACACGTTCTTCATCCCAACTGGCTGGATCCACGCCGTGTATACCCCGAGCGACTCGCTAGTATTCGGCGGCAACTTCCTGCACCAATTCGGCATCGAGAAGCAGCTCAAGATCGCGCAGGTTGAAGACGTGACCAAGGTTTGTTACTCTTATGGATCAGAATGTAAATATCTAAGGACCTTGTCTCATTAGAACACTATGGTAGCGCCAAAGTTCACGCCACAAACAATTTCACAGTTTTATGAAGGGTATCACATCTGCTATCAATTTGTTGCCGTCACTGTCTTGCAATGTGATATAGGATTTTAGGACATAACCAACATCGAATAGCAAAACTCTCATCTCGCGCAATTTTGCGATTAATCCGGCAATTTCTCGACGAGACAGGAATGCACGTAGCAAAAACAGTATTTTCCTATTTTTACAAGCTTTTTTTATTTTTATTGTTCACAAAAGGACACACATCAATACATAAAGATACACTTGCCAAACTGCATTACGGCAATAGTTCTCGTCCTTATTTCTAAGGCTCAGTTGCACCAGCATACTTCAACCGTTACCGTAACTGGTGTTTTTTGTATGGAGTTTGACAGATTTTTGAAGATTGTTAAAGTTACAACAAGATGGCGCCACCCAGCCTAAGTATTCATTGTGTTTCCTGCTAATTACTACACTGTTTCTACTCATGCAATACCTAAAAATTACAACCAATTCAACAACAAATAATATAGTTCTTGCAACTCACGAAGGCGAGCAAGGGCTACGATTAAGGGCCTACGATAAAATTGCACAGGTACACAGAGCGGGTGCTCGCACCGGGTACTCATCGTGTGCACCTATTGATGCATGGGATTGCACCTAAGACTTGATTGACTTGAATGTGTACATTACAGGTCCCTCAAAAGTTCCGCTACCCGTTCTTCACGGAAATGCTGTGGTATGTCCTGGACCGCTACGTGAGCGCGCTGCTGGGCCGCTCGCACCTCGCGCCCGAGACGCAGCCCGGCGCGCCCGCGTCCGCTACACGCGAGCACGTGCACCTCACGCAGCACGAGCTGCATGGCTTGAAGGTACGTCCCTCCACTTCACGGAGAAGCTGTATACGTGCTGGACCGCTACGTGAGCGCGCTGCTGGGCCGCTCGCACCTCGCGCCCGAGACATCATCTCACGCAGCACGAGCTGCATGGCTTGAAGGTACATCCCTCCACTTCACGGGGATGCTGTATACGTGCTGGACCGCTACGTGAGCGCGCTGCTGGGCCGCTCGCACCTCGCGCCCGCCACACGCGAGCACGTGCATCTCACACAGCACGAGCTGCATGGCTTGAAGGTACATCCCTCCACTTCACGGAGAAGCTGTATACATGCTGGACCGCTACGTGAGCGCGCTGCTGGGCCGCTCGCACCTCGCGCCCGAGACGCAGCCCGGCGCGCCCGCGTCCGCTACACGCGAGCACGTGCACCTCACGCAGCACGAGCTGCATGGCTTGAAGGTATATCCCTCCACAGGTTTCAGTTTATAAGCTCTTGGCCTGTATCTCACCTGATGGTAAGTGACGATCAGGCCAAAGGTGGAAGCGAGCTTCACCCGGAATCCTCAACCATGGAGGAACTGGCTATCTTACCTCTAACTGCCGGAACACAACAATGCTGTTAACATTGTTGTTATGGCGACAGACTTAGGTAAGATGGTGGTAGCTAGCCAGGCGGACTTACGAGTAGAACAAGCCCTACCACCAACCAAACCGAACAGAAAAATCTGGCCCCCACTGGGAATCGAACCCGGGACCTCTGCGTCTGAAGCAGGTGGTCTTACCACTAGACCACAGAGGCGGTTGTCCCGCCACTTCTTCTTCCTCGGTCACTCACTGGTGACGATCGCGACCACAGATAGTGTTCCTCCACAGACTGCGGTCATAAGCTGTGTGAACCGCACAATGCAAACTTCCGCCCACCACAGGTTATCCCTCCACAGGTTTCAAATAAGTGGATGAATTGAGGGAGTTGAGTGCGGAACTGAGTCTGCCTTGGCATGTTTTATTCGACCGCACCATACTTCTTAACTCTTTTTTAATTCAGTTGTCCATGTCCCTATATGCGTCTCTCCCTCATCTGGGGCTGCGGCGATGTGCCAATCGGGTACTAAAAAGCCAATAAGGGTCTCCACTAAAACCACGGTACTGTCGATAGACTGCCACTGGGCCATTTCCGTGCTGCTCCTGGCTCTCGTCAATCCACCTTCCCAACATGCCTACCTATCAGTTATAATAGGAATGTTTTCTAGGTAAAAAAGCAAGAGTTAGAATTAATCCGTCAGTTGACAAATAAAATACGTTCAGACAAAGGATTACCAAAGAACAAAATATAAAATCTGATTGATACTGAATACGTTTTGGATTAAATCAATGTTTACGGTTTTTATAAAAAAAGTATAATAAATAATTTACGTGCTTAACTTGCCTATTACTTTACCAACTATATCTCCATTCCAGGCCATAGTGATGTATCTGCACCAGCTGCCCGCAGCGCGCAAGTCTGTCCCGGAGCTGTTGTCTGACCCGATAGCGCTGGTGCGGGACGTCCGTACTTTGGTGGAGCAACACCGCCACGATAAACAGAACTTGGCTATCACTGGCGTGCCGGTGCTCAAAGGTATGATCAATTTGTAGCTATAACAACTGGAGGCAGGGAGACTAGCTGACTAACCTTAAAAACTTAAACATCCCTCTTAAATTTCGTCTTTAAGTACCTATCTAAGTGAGAGGGACTTAGCTTAAAAATCCTGATTGTCCCCACTGGGCTAGAAGAATCCCCATCCCGCAACCCCTTCAGCCAGAAGCTGGGTACATCGATCGAGAGGCAATAAAGCGTTACGTTATGGTGTTTTCACTTACTCATTTATGTCATTGTGATTATTTACAAGCTATCTTACTGATCGAATTAATTTAATAGCTGTATTCTGAGCAGCATCTATCTGAATAAGCATGGCCGCGATGTTACTTAAGTAAGGCAAAAAAAAATTATGGCTTTAAATTTCAACCAATTCATTGATTCATTGACCGGTAGTATTTTGACTTTCAATCCTTACTCACATTATTATTGTGTCAAATTCTGCCTCATCATCATCCATAGGACGTCCACTGCTGAACATAGGCCACCAATGCTTTCCATGCTGCCCGGTTAGTAGCGGCCTGCGTCCAGCTCCTTTCTGATGTCGTCGGTCCACCTTGTGGGTGGACGTCCCACGCTGCGTTTTCCGGTACGCGGCCTCCACTCCAGAACCTTGCTGCCCCATCGGCCGTCAGTTCTGCGTACGAATTCTGTCTTATCATAACATTTATGTCCAGGTCCCGACGAAGTGGTCTCGGGCGAGCGTCGTCAGTCAAGCGGGCGCGGCGGCCGTGGCGGCTCCACCCGCGGCGGCGCCCGTCCGCGCCCCGACCATGCCAGCAACGCGCCCAGGCGCCGGCGCACCAGGTGAGATATTGTTTATTTATTTATACTTCAATGCCAAAAATATTAACATTAGGCGAACTTAATGCCATAAGGCATTCTCATCCAGTTTACCTTTGGGTTATGCAGAAAAATTAGTTTGGCGGTATAACAAAAAAATAATTAAATAAAACAAAGCGACAAAGCAAAACAAATATGCTACATATACACATACATAAATAATATATAAAATATATAATAAATAAATACATACTAAGGTGATAGATATAATGATGGATGACGATAAGTTAAAACAGAAACCATTCATGAAGATGATAACATTTGGAGAAAGTGGTTTACTGTTCTTCTATGTTTTATTATTGTTGCTGTTCTTCTATGTTTTATTAATCGTTCGTTTCAGCGAAATGACGTCTACTGGTGGACAAAGACCTCTATGTAATATTGCGGTATAACAAATGTGTTGGTAGAAATATTGAAGGATATCACCAATTTCTGGTTTTACACTCCGCAAAAACTAAGATTCTGTAAATATTTTTAATACGTCAAATAGTTTTCGGGATATTTAATTTTAAGTAATGCGTTGTCTCTGCTTGTTGCTGTGACGTCACAGTACAATAGTCGTTTAGTATGTGCTTCTTTCCCGACCTGTGTCTAAGATATTTGTGCTGGAAATTGACAAAAATGTTAAATCTACAACCTAGAAAGTAAATATAAAAGTAGATTATGTATTTCAAAACTGTCTTCCATGTTTAGGTGCTAGCTATTCCAAAGCAGGTTACATAATGCAGCAATGCAATAGCACTTACAGCAGCTGCACGACTAGTTTAAATACATTTCGCTGCTGTAGTACAATGATAGATTGACTATCACTTTCTTTGGCCCGTTCTTATATCGTCACATGTATAATTCCAGATGCAAGAAGTGCGAAGCTTGCCAGCGTACCGACTGCGGCGAGTGCGTGTTCTGCCACGACATGGTCAAGTTCGGCGGGCTCGGCCGCGCCAAGCAGACCTGCGTCATGCGCCAGTGCTTGCAGGTACATAACCTAATCTTATATTCTAGTTTTTGGAATCATTATACGACACCTAGGAGGCGTATGGCTGAGGACTGACGCTCGGTACAAGCTAACCGCTTCGCAAAAATTGGCAACCTTTCCTTCCTGTCGAGAGAGAGGCTAGGCTATTGAAAAAGACGGCGCATTGTAGGTGAACTGACGGAGTTCTGATGCGTAGTAGTGCCATTTCTGTATGAACTGATTTTTCATACGTCAGATATCTTATTTCAAGAATATAATTGTCATTTTGACATATTTCCCATACAGAAACTGTCAATAGTCCAAATAGCTACAATAATAGTCCAATAGCCTGTTATTCTTCAGCTAAAAGTTATTCGATGATTGAAAAATCAGCCATCAATCGTCTATATCAATTGTTTGCCGAATAAACCTTCGAATTAATGACAGTCACGACCCGTCTATAAATGTGACTGGATGAAACCAAATGGCAAGCTGACCTCTTCTAAAATGGTGTCGTTTAATAACTCAGCTCTCGCTCAACTCAGCGTCAGCTTGTATTGTTGCGTTTTACAGTTTAAAAACAGTATTTATTCTAACACTATATTTTCTCTTCACACAGCCAATGCTCCCAGTCACAGCGTCGTGTGCCGTGTGCCACCTCGACGGATGGATGCAGACGCCGGTCGCGCCACAGGCTAAGGGTAACTCGGGTAACTACCTCTCCACACTGCACGATACTTACGTGTAGATAGATGTAGCTAATAGTGGGACATCTTCATACATTAATAGCTGGGTAAAAAGCTGCGTCCACACTAGACCTTCCACCGCGCTCCGACCGCGCGAGACAAAGCGAAAACAGTGAGTGTGCGAGTGCGACGGCAATAAAATTACGCACGAGCGATAATAATGGGTAGCTTGGGGTCATTGTACGAAATTCCATCTGCTCGGCAACTGGACTTTAGCCGTACAGTCCAACGTCGACGTTCATTCAGTAGACACAGTTAATAATAAACTCCAGCACAATAAAAAATCACGATTTTTTTCCTACATACATTAAAAGCAAAAGTTTTAAATTTTAAGTTTATGCTAGACTTATGTAGCTAGTTTGCTTAACCTTTATGTTTAACCATATCCCATAACGTCAGGTTTTTTATTTCTACAAAGCTGTTCGAAAGTTATTCTATTCGAGAGTTAGTATGAAGGTGTCTTACTGTTCCTTTTTAGTGTGTAGATATTGTGATAACTGCACGTTGCTTTGTTCCTTCCGGTTTTATTTCTTTCAATTTGGTGTTGGGATCATTTGTAGAATATGTTTTGCTTTTTATTAGTTCCTTAAACGGACGACAGTACTTTATGTAGTTTTATTATCTGCTCTTTTGCTGTAAAAGGTTTCTGTTGAGCTGTCGTCTGTACATACGAGTAGTTCTATGAAATAAATGGTGTTTATATTCGTTCTTTAGGACGCAACGGGCCATCGTCGCTGCGTGAATGCTCTGTGTGCTATAGCATCGTGCACCCGGCGTGCGTGCCGCCTGGCGGACAGATCAATGAGGACCTGCCCAACTCCTGGGAATGTTCTACTTGCACTACTATGGGGCTCAACCATGATTACAAGGTGAGTGGATAACCATTAACGAGATACAGCTAAATTGGCGAGGTGATGATCAAGTTGAATATCCTATACTTATAATATTTTAAACTATTATGTTGCATTTTTACTATAAAACTATCACTTCACGGGATTTATTGAAACAATATCTATTTTAACGGTGCAACCGAGACGAAACTTCGGGGGGGTAAATATTTTATTTACCGTTAAAATAGATATTGTTGCAATAAATCCCGTGAAGTGATAATTTTATCCTATACTTAGCAAAAAGATCTATCTGAACTTGAGTAGTACGGCAGTGTTACACGTCACTTACAATGTAAAGGCCTTATTGCCTTATTGCAATACACACAATACAAAATGTTTATGGCCCTACGCTAAAACTAGAGCAAGCTTGAGGCGTGCTAAATGATCAGCGTGGCGTTTCTCGTCGCTTACTATGCAACGACACTCGCTGTAGCACCGCCCCTAATGCACATTTTCTTAATCCGAGGTAACACTTCCAAAACTGGGAGTTTAAGCAGTAATATAATTCATGTTCGTATATTCCTTGAAATAACCGAATGTTATTACTTGCAGCCCCGTCATTTCCGCGCTCGTCAAAAGTCTTCTGATCTTCGCCGCATGAGCGTGGGCTCAGATGCCAACAGCCAAATGAGTCACCACAACTACCAGTCTTCGTTTGGGGTAAGTTTAAAGTTGATGATATTATCTATAAAGAAAGTAAAGTAACGTGGATTTACCCTGCTTAAACGGTTAATTAATCTATGATAAACACAATTTTTATTACAGCACAAACTGCCTGGCCCGCTGCCGTCGGCTGTCAAGTCTGAAGGCTCAGACAACGAGGGCAAAAACGATGTGACGCATCTGAAGACTGAGGAGGGTGAGTTGAATACAATATTTACTAAAACTATTTTGGCAAATGTGAAGTTTAATTGGTAACTCTATATGTGTTATAGAATGCTGTTTGTTTTCCTAACAATAAAATAAAAAATAAATAAAAATAAAAGAACTCTTCCGTCCAGTCACTTAAAAGTCCACAACAAAATCATGCTGTTAAATAAAATTGATCCCCTTTTACAATCGATGCATGAAGCTTCTTGTTTGGGCTCTAGATACTTATGGATATTGTAATTGGTGTACAATTTTAAATAAAGTGCGTGAGAGTGATGACAAAGCGCGGTGGAAGACAACTGCCTCATATGTCTCGAAGCGCACGATGCAAAACTTAAAAACGTCGAGCCGATACAATATCAAATCACTACCTATCTCTATTATGTTAATCGTGAATAGATATTTGATTTCTGTGGATAGGATCATCATCATCATCATCTCAGCCATAGGACGTCCACTGCTGAACATAGGCCTCCCCCAATGCTTTCCATGCTGCCCGGTTCTTAGCGGCCTGCGTCCAGCGTCTTCCTGCTACCTTTATGATGTCGTCGGTCCACCTTGTGGGTGGACGTCACACGCTGCGTTTTCCGGTACGCGGCCTCCAATCCAGAACCTTGCTGCCCCATCGGCCGTCAGTTCTGCGTGGTTGGGATAGAAAAAGTAAAATTGTATGGTCTTTCTTTTAGAAATAAAGCGCGAAGAGGAAGCGGCCGAAGGTGCCGAGGGCGGCGAAGGTTGGGAGCCCAGCGCCAAAAAGCGGCGCTCCAGCGAGGAGGATGACGCGCCTAAAAAGCACACGCTGCGCGCACACCTCGCCCTGCAACTTACCCACCACACCGGCAAGGTACAAATCCCACCACCACCCATGGTTCTTTCTGCCTCACGGCGTACGAACCGAATCTCAGGAGAGAGTGCGGGTACTTGCTCAGAGGCCTAATGCCCGTTTTCACCATCAATCCCTAATTTTTAAGTAACCCCTATGTAAACAAAATTCCTGTTATGTGATACCGTAGAAGGTCATTTAAAAATTAGGTATAGATGACCCACGCTGAACTGTCCCACCAAACTCAATGACAGGGGGGCGCTACCATCGTTCAACTATATGGTTTCCAACATGGCAAAAATCTGAACCAGCGATCCGGTATTGACGGTGGCGCCCCACTGTCAATGTCATCGACAGGACAGTCCAGTATTTTGGAACTATATTGATGGTGAAAACTGGCATAATTCACGTATTTTGACACAGTCAAAATCTCGTTGACGTCTAGAAGTCCTATTGAAAAACAGTTCTAAATCCGTATTCACAAGGGTGATTTTGATAGAACGATTACTCGATAGGATCGCAACTCAGCGATTTGTTGTCGTTGAAGTTTTGTTACGTGTATAAGGCTACTGGGCTCCTTTTCCCGGGCGCTTTGCTTGACTCCCTATAAATAACCGGCGGCTCCCTACAATTATAACGAACCGGCAAGGTACAGACATCCAGTTAATGGCGCCTGGCGCCACCTGGCATCTTCACCATTATTTCAGTATCAGGATATCTACCGTGAACATGGCCTCCCCCAATGATTTCCACATCGCCCGGTAGGTAGTAGCCTGCATCTAGCTCCTTACTACTACTTTATGAGGTTGTCGGTCCACCTTGTGGGCATCCCACGCTGCGTTTACCGGTGGCCTCCGCCCTCCACCTCCAGAACCTTGCTGCTCCATCGACACTGGCATCTTATGTGGTTAAATAGGTGCGAATTAGCAACAAGTGTGGAAAGGCTGTATGCTAAAACGCGGGTGTACGGCGGAGCGGCGCTCTGCCATCTATTAGTTGCACCGCTAATACAAATCGCGGGTGATCGTGGCGTGCGCCCGCTGCCCACCGCGTGTAAAATACAATACGATCGAGTTAACTGCGCACTTAACGATCGTGATGTCACAACGACGCTCTGATACTGAAGGGGCGAAGTGGGAGGGAATGTTGCAATCCAGCGAGCTGCGTAGTTAGTTCGATGCGCATGCGTCCGCTCTACACAGCGCTACTCATACTATTTTTCGATGTAGCCTAGCCCTTGACTTAATTTTAGGGTTACTATAAAATCTGTTCATATCTATAACCTTATTCCAGGCCCTCAAGAAGCCGTTGTACCCGATCCGGCCGATGGGCTTCATCCAGCAGCCGGGCGCGCCGGGCTCGTCGCCGTGGCTGGACCGCGAGGCCATGCTGTGCGTGTTCGCCAAGCTCACGCCGCATGAGCTTGCCGTCTGTGCGCTCGTCTGTAAAGCCTGGGCTGAGTACTCCGTGAGTATACACAAATACAAGGCCTTTAACTGGCATCCAGGGTTTTGTCGATACTTCTGAGGCGACTACTGTCAAATACTGCTCAACGGTGTAGGAGGATTAGCATTTGCACTTGCCAACTGTTGAGCACAAAAACGATCTAGAACTAGATGACCAGCATTCAGCCTCTAGAACTGGTATGATGGTATCCAATCTCTAACCCGTCGTAGGTCCCCTATACTTCTTAAGGGCTGAGGTATACGATGCGTTTGCGCATTTGTTAGCCAATCTATAATATTCGGCGTCGGTGCAGCGATGAAAGTACCTGACAAAGAAGACATCGACTGTGCCACTCAGGTGCAGCAATGCACACACACACCCTTGTCTGTTTTACTTATATGGAAATGCTTAATACACTTTTGACTCGTAATTTGTTAAAATAGAGAAACATGGGTTTCAACGCGATATATTTTCGCGTGCGTAATTTGTTATTGATATACTGCTGGAGAATGCAATGACCTTCTGGATGACATAGTTACCACAAGGGCTATATTTTACCGGGACACCATGGCGGCGCAACCAGTCGCCGCTACCAACAAAATGTATGCAGCTTTGCGCAACCAAACGGACACCAGGTGAGTAACTCTCTATAGCGCCGCTATGGTGTCCCGGTGAAATATAGCCCTAAGTGAACTCGGATCAGACTCTTCCCAATAAACTCAGATCTTCTCTCATCTATTCCCAGTACTGATACGGCTCTTTTTAATATCCGCATAATCTATTCCCAGTACATATTGCTCTTTTAATATTTTCAGATGGATCCATCCCTCTGGCGCAGCATGTCATTCGTTCAAGTCCGCGTGTCAGCCGCCCAGCTGGCCGGCATCGCGCGCCGCCAGCCGCTGTCGCTCGGTCTCGAGTGGTGCCATCTGGCTCGAAGGCAGCTCGCGTGGTGAGTTCAATATCTTAACTTGAATTTAACTTGACTTAAGCAGATTTTTCAATCATCAGACATCATATAACTGAAGAATAAACTTGTCATTTTGACACGTTTCTGATACTGAAACTGTCAATGTGCCAAATTAATTCTTCAGTTAAAATTTATCTAACGATTGAAAAATCAGCCCTTACCGCACATAAGTTTGTATAACTTCATTGAAAACCTGCTGTAGAAGCTGTAGATCCTGGTTATACAGGAGTTCTAGTGTTGAGATTAGTCCCGTATAGCGTTTCTACAGTTGCGCCGAACAACTTTTTAAAGGAACTCGATTTTTTTTTAACAGTCTTTCTTAGGGGGTCCTGGATATCGGCTATCATGCACACATATCGTTACTCTCTTACCGAAACGCTGTCTACACTGGAACTCCCCGAACCTTACAATGCCTTATTATGATAAGGCCATTTATTTATTTATACTTCAATGCCAAAATTTTAACATTAGGCGAACTTAATGCCATGCATTCTCATCCAGTTTACCTTCGGGTTATGCTAATTCTCATCGTTTTCCAGGCTCCTGGCGCGCCTACCAGCGCTCCGCTCCTTGTCGCTGGCCGGCTCGCCAGCCGAAGCGGCGCTCGCGCTGCGTTCGTCCAGTTGCCCTCCTCTCACATCCCTGGACTTATCCTTCGCTCGCTGCCTCGACGACGCCAAACTCCGCGGCATTCTGGCGCCGCCTGAGAACTCCAGGCCTGGTGGAGGAGCCAGAACTGGCGCGGAGCCGTCTCGGCTGGCGGCTCTTAGCGTGCTGAGACTGCCGGGGACTGATATCACTGATGTCGCTATGAGATACGTTGTGCAGGTTAGTGTCTTGTTAAGATTGCCTTTTGGTGTGGTGGCCAGTTGCCCTCCTCTCACATCTCTGGACTTATCCTTCGCTCGCTGCCTCGACGACGCCAAACTCCGCGGCATTCTGGCGCCGCCTGAGAACTCCAGGCCTGGTGGAGGAGCCAGGACTGGCGCGGAACCGTCCCGCTTGGCGGCTCTTAGCGTGCTGAGACTGCCGGGGACTGATATCACTGATGTTGCTATGAGATACGTTGTGCAGGTTAGTGTCTTGTTAATATTGCCTTTTGGTGTGGTGGCCAGTTGCCCGTCTCTCACATCTCTGGACCTGTCCTTCGCTCGCTGCCTCGACGACGCCAAACTCCGCGGCATTCTGGCGCCGCCAGAGAACTCCAGGCCTGGTGGAGGAGCCAGGACTGGCGCGGAGCCGTCTCGGTTGGCGGCTCTTAGCGTGCTGAGACTGCCGGGGACTGATATCACTGATGTTGCTATGAGATATGTTGTGCAGGTCAGTGTTCTTGTTTTAATCCTTGTCTTTTGGTGTATTTTCATTTCATAAGGAAGGTCGTTTATAAAAATAAAGACTATTGCTTTTAGAGCTTCTTCACACTAGCGTTTGTTCAGAGTAGGCGTTAGATGAAAGTATGCTCAGAGCAAACATTCAACGTACGCGTCGCGTTGTCGCGGACTGCGACGCATGCGCTGCGTAACTTCGGTGAGATGTACAATTTTGTTCGCATCTGACCTCTCTCCGCCACCCGCGTCTACATTGTGTGACGTCTGCGCCGAGCCAGCGCAGCGTTCAATTAACTGCGACGCAGAGTGGAGTCGAGTGTCTGCGCTGCGTATACTTTCATCTAACGCCTATGCACGACCAAGCTACATTTGATGTTCTGATTCTGTAGCCGTTTGTAGACAAGTATGCACGTTAACAATACATCTTTTATCCCCAGGCCCTGCCCAAGCTGTGCGAGCTAGACGCGTCATCGTGCGCGCGGCTGACGGACGCGGGCGCGGCGCAGCTGGCNTTAGCTTAGATTCTATCTGTGGGATTGATTCATGTTATATCGAGGTTTAAAGTGGGTGTCATAAACAGCAGCAGCAACAGTGCACTGGACACAGGAGCTGCCTAAACTCAGCTGTACGTGTAGTGACAACTCGTCATTATCGGATCAACGACAGCTGCTCAGAGGGCTGAAACAAGTAACTATTGATGAACCGTCCTCCTAGGTGTCTAAGATTGCTCAATTAGAGCGATGACTTTCAGTTTCTGTACTGCGGAACTATGGTTCTGTTTTCGTACCATCAGGTTGATTTTAACTAGCAGTGCCAGGCCAGGAACAAATGCACTTAATAAATACACTTATACACATAACTTCTCGAGTCGAGAGACCACTATCTTGCCCCTGAATCACAGACGCGATCCTTACCAAATGAAGTGATTCTGAAAATTAAGATAACGTTGTTAATCTTACGAATTCCTCCACAGACTGGACCTCCGACACGTGCCTCTGGTGTCCACGCAGGCGGTCATCAAGTTCGCGGCCAAGTCCAAGCACAACCTTCACGTGCAGGACGTCAAGCTGGTGGAGCTGAGGAAGACCTGATGCCAGGACACGGGGGCGGCGCCGACGTCCGAAGCGGAGCCCGCGCCTGCCTCCGTGCCCGACGTCGAGTCTGACGTCACGACCGACGTCACGTCCGACGTCACGCCCGACGCCGCGCTCGACGCAGCTCCCGAGTCTGCGTAAGCGCAAACGTAGACTCTGTGTACAAGGTAAAAAGTGCAATTTACAATAACATTCGGACGATTCGGATCGAGTTCTCGTGCGCTCATTGCACTCATTGGAATGTAGACTTTGTGTGTTAACAGTGCAATTTACAACGTGATCGCGTGATACCGTTGGTGTTTTGTTTCAGTCTACTTTAGGTAGGCGTTTCTACACATTTTGTAGTGAAACAGGTGTCGTTACGAATTGTAATGTGATTTTGTATACTGTGAATGGTTACTGTCAATGGTCTCACTCATTTAAGTTTTACTCGTGGACTACGTTTCAGTAGTTTTTTTGTAAATTTACCCTAAAAGTCATAATGTTTTAAATAACATATCAAACAGAAGTCTACATTTCTTTGTCAGCGCGCACTTTGTAGATATTGAAGCAAAGACTTGAGTAAGCTTATCCTGATATAATTGTTGAAGTGATACGATTTTTCGGTAAATATTACGACAGTTCACATGAGAACTGAAGAATTAGTCAAAAAATATCAATTTTACTTCGAAACCAAATGATCAAATGTTTTCGGGAATGTTTTTTGTTTCGTTTTCTCATTCTCTAATTGTTTTTATAGTGTGACGTAATAGTCATTAATTTACTCCTTTTACTCTTGAACAGACACATTATATCGTCTTTTGCAATATAACTTCAGTGCCAATCAGTTTCTATATGCCAGCACGATTTATACTGCACAATCAATGATAAATATATAAAAAAGTTATATGTATTAATTTTATTGCATGCTGTTGCATTGGTATTATATTTTATTGTTAGTTTTTATATGTTTCTTGATTTGGGCCGCGAGAGGCTTTCATTTATCATTGACTGAAAATTCTAAATGCCTGTATTATATGAATGTATAAGAAAGTTTGTGTCAAATAGAACTAGCTAAGATATGTAATTACAAATGCAACTTTCCGTGTGTTTATGATCCAAAGAATAGTTTACATACTTATAAATAGTCCGTGTTATCTGTCGCGAAATAAATGAATGGTGTATTAATTAATTTGCTCTGAATGCAACCAATAGGGTGAAAACAGTTGATGGAGTTGGCAATGTTCGGTTGAGAGTTCTTGGCCTAGTTTCGAAGTGCCAGTCAGTATCGCCAATTCAGTTCTAAATAGTATTGTTCGGCACGCAATCCCTCGATACGTGACGTAAGCGTTTGTATGTGTAAAGGTGGACTCGCACCTGTCTGCTCGGCAGTAATTGAATTTTTATAGTTATTTTTCAAAGTGTAGGAAATTAGTAAATAAATATGTTCGGCATGTACCGTACAGGCAGGTGTGCGATCGCCGTAAGTGAAATTTTTAATCTTGTTGTTATTGGTAAGACAAGATGATCAATAGAGTTAATTAAATCTATAAAGGTTCGGACAAACCAACGCGTGCAGCGATGGCGATGGCGATGGCGACCACTGCGCGTGCAAAAGTTGTTTCACACTGCCGCGACCGCGATGGCGATCACTGCGCGTGCAGGTTGTCACTGTCACCACAACTGTCACGCATATTGTCAATCACGCTTAATCGGCAAAATGGAAACTGAATTAAATGATTTGTTTGGAGCTTTTGATGCAATTGAGACAGTGGAAACACTTTTTCACTCAAGTTTATTCAGGCGGCCATATATTATAGAATGAGACAGGATTACATGCGGTATAGGTAGTAGGTATTGGTTACTCATAACCGAGCTATATTTCTGGCTTCGTTTGTAGTCCCTAGAGCCCTAACAATACCTTTTAATTAAATTTAAAAAGAGGTTTGATAGGAAGGAGGACTGCACTAAGGCTTTCTTGGCCTCAGTGGGGGAAATGAAACACAACGCGGACGGTTGATATCTGGTTTATTACTGTTATTACTATTGCTATATACAAGATTTACATAATGTACACAATTTAATGTGTCCAGTCCAATGTGCCGTCGGTGTAGAGTGCCTGCGGTGCACGTTCGTTCAGGGTTCATGGGCCAGTCGGCTAGCATGTTGTAGGTCGCGGTCGATGCTGACGTGCTCGTACAGTATCCTTGTGGGCAAGTAAGATTAACCAATTCATCTTTTACCTTGAAGGAAAAAATTTGCCCCCATTACCTTTTACCATTGTCGTTATTATCGTTAAATCGCACAAAACTACACAGAACTCAACACAACATCAATTTTCATTTTTATTTTTGGTGCAACAGTCATCTTGACATTTACTTTTTTTAAGGCAAAGGAAATTACATGATGCACCCAAACCACAGAGTACATAATAGTCCAAATATCTTTTTTGTCTTTAATAATAACCCAAAAATACAAAAAGAAAGCGCGGGAAGAGCCTGGATGCGGGCAGCGCAGGACCGTTCATTGTGGAAAACCTTGGGGGAGGCCTTTGTCCAGCAGTTTATATTATTCAAGTAGGTCAGACTAGTGGTAATATGTTATGAATAATTCATTTTTAATTGTGTAAAAACTTTTTAACAGATCCTACTTACTATTTATTACATCGATTTTAAAAAACAGAAAAGTCACAGTGACCAATGTCGCGATGATCGCTGATCGCTGCGTGCAGACGCTGCATAGATCGCCGCGACCAATGACAGGACGCGTTGATGTGAACACATCGCTACAAATTCATACACGCTGTCTGGTCGCCATCGCCATCGTCATCGTGCACGCCGGCTGCACGCGTTGGTATGGTCTAACCTTAATTCACTATAAAATGATGATCCGAATTCAGGCTGAGGTATTCGAATGTTTAACATATTTTCGTCAATAGTTGTCATGTTAGGAGGATAGTACTTATATTAAACCAAATAAGCAATAGTTTTACATCTTGATATACATCTTACTCAATTTTAAATGTTTTATGTCTCTGAATAATTAATGATAAATGTTAATGTAAAACCAGCTTTATAGCGAAGTTGCATTTTTAATACTTTATTTTAGTTCAGCATTATTTAAAAATCACTGTGTAAATATTCGATTATTTATTGCACACACCGTTTAATGAAACCTATTTTAGTTCATGACAATTCTAAATTGCTTAGGTTGTATTTTTTAGTTCTAGTCGCTTTTTTAGTTATAAGTTATTGTTGTTAGTTAGGTATATTTTAACTGTGACTGTGTTGGGCTTATGTAAATAGAATACATGTAGTTTGTGTTTCCTTCTTTCTATCGAATACATTTTAGTCAAAAGATACATGAAAAATTACAAGAGCACTCAAAACTTTTTTGTTAGTCCAATTCTACTTCTTCCTAGACTTCCTATATTTGTAAGTTTCTTCGTATAAGTTACAGAAATAAGCACTCGAATTTGATTTGGTATTGAATATTCACTATTAAATAAGTGTTTGATTTTCTGTCATATTCACATAGTACTAATAAATAGTTCGTGTTGAATCACACGAGTGTTACAATATACTGTTGGTTTCTATAAAATAAATAAATAAATACCAAAAGAAATACAAATTCGCGCTTTATACATTAAGGTGCATCCTCACTGGGACCATTCGCATGTAATGTAAAAGATTCCATTGTTACATTACACGTGGGCGCTCCCAGTGTCAAAGCACCTTTACGAGTACACCGGCTTTTTACAGTTTTTTATACATTAATATAATATAGTACGCACACACAGACATGATAAAACGTTACAGGTGCCTAGCAATTTAGTAAAGTTTTTAACAGGTATACAAAATATTTACAATTTTAGAGAACAGTATTTATTTTAATGGTTAGTTATTGATATTGAAATTTTATGAGATTAAATCATAAATATATTCTTGGCTTACTCATTAAAAATTGTTTCACCTGTTAAAAATGCAAGTTTAAAAACTTAAGTATTTATGATTCGTATTTATTTCAGTATTTATTACCGAATCAGTACTTACTCTCAAAATCTGTTGTGTACTTAGAATTTCCCATGTATTTTAGTTATTTTCCAAGCCGAACTCTGGGTTAAATGTATGGTACAAAGCACAAATCTGTCATTTCTAGGCTCCTGTACTCCTGTAAGCACGAACAACTTGTTAGTTAAGTAAACCGACTCGTCACAGTAAGCATGGTCGCGGGGCCGCCTATAGCATAGTGTAGAAAGAATGAGACATTGCCAAACTTTGTGCTCACCTACAACATAATTCTACGTCGTTCCTGTACTCAAAAGTTGTCTCTATCAATATTAACGAACTGTTTACCAGTTTTCAAATAAATTAATGTAATTAGCGAGGAATAAAGAATTATACTCGTCAGTATTTTTGAGTACGGGAATGCACACGAGTGAATGGAGA